CCAGATTTTTTCTTCTTCTTTTTCTTTTTCCTTTTTATGTCATGGGAATCTCCTCCTTCACATGATTTAGCAGCCTCTGTTTCATTATCATCTTCTTTCACTTCGCTTTCAGAATGGGAGTGTTGATTCAACTTAGAAAAGAGTGGAAGAAATGAAAACTTGTACAATGTTATTAAAAATTATTATATTTTAAGTGACATACCAAGTCATAACGATTTATATTTAACTGTTTTCTTCTTGCTCCTCCAGATACAGGAGTATCTGTCTCTGTATCAGATACTTCATCTGCTAATTCTTTGTCTTTATCACCTTGCAATTTTCTTAAAACTCGTGAGGACATGATTACTTTGTAATGAAATAATTTAATAAAATGTGGGAGTAAGTAATTATTAAATAACTTATAGCAGTATTAATTTTGTTTTGACGTATGACAAGACGACGTTTTCAAGTGACACTTCTGTTTTCTTCTTCTTCACTTCTGTTACTTATTTACTATAAGATGGACCATTGTCGCAGCACCCAGAACTATTTTAAGTCGACGTGATCGAGCTGATTATAAACTGACCGTAGACGTAGATAACAAAATAACCGTGTTTTTTTTACCTGAAATCTCAGCTAATCTCAGTTATTCTGAATGCTGATTGGACAATTAAGTGACACTTAGTGAGATCTCAGGTAAATAAATCAAGAGGAATATTTAAGCGTTCTCTAAATATTGAGTAGCTTAAATAACCAATGATCTAAATAACGAAACAGATAAAAATATCAAATATCTTTCACTCTTTTTAAAAAATTTGTAGCTTTAAATCACAGCAAAATCATTGGGTAGTCTACTATTACTATACGTAACTAGCGTATATAAGCATAGCTTGCAATCTTAAAGCTTTAACCTAAATTTAAATTAGGGTCTACGAGCAACGAATTAGGGTAAAAATCGTTGGGTTAGTTAGTAACCCGTGGTTAACAGTTGGCAATACAAATATAGCTTGACATTTGACAATTTGATCTTGACAGACAGCTGACATAACCTTACTTAAGAAATTGTTTACAGTTTTACACAATAATAAAATGTATTTAGATAATAAAACTTAACAGTCGCCATGTATTAATTAGCTAAATGTTGAGGAATTTACATTTAGCACAACTGTCGTATAATTTGGACAAATTATAAATATGAAAGTTAGAAGAAAGAAACGAAAAATGATGAAGATTGAAAATTCAGATCCTCCAGTGAAGGATGAAACGGAAGAAAAGGAGGATGAAACGGAAGAAAAGGAATCAGTTAATAACGAAGAAGTAACCGTCCCTTTGACTGAGAGTACTGAGAAAACTGACCCAGTCGAAGTGGAAAAAAATTCGGTGAACATTTGTAGATTATGTCTCGTTTTTATTGATGATAACTTTGTACCACTGGAAAATATTCTTGCAATGCTTCAGATAGTTTTACCAGAAGTGGTTAGTATCTTAGTTTAACACAATACATGTAGGTCATAGATTTATTTATATCAATTGTTTAATAGTCGAGACAAGCTTGAATTGTTTTCGTTTAAATTACAGCTAATGATAATTTACTTATATGAGTATGTAGATAGGCATTATATATTAACATGAAATAATTTTTCCCCATAGGATCCGAAAATTACTAAGAAACCTGTGGTTTGTCAATTGTGTTGTGAATTTCTTGAAAAGGCATCTAATTTTATGATAAATAGTTTAAATGTAGAACAAAAAATTAAGAATTACTACAATGCAGCTAAAACTGAGGAGGAAATCGATTTATTTAATGTGTTAGAATTTGCTTTTCCTAAAATTGAAATGGATAGCAGTATTATTAATGGGAATGACTCACAGTATGACGATAACGGTGATTTTGTTCCAACTGACATCTTGGAAGTTAAACAATCAAAGGACGATGAAGAAGCCTCTAAAGTTGATGAAGACATCAAACCAAGACCGTAAGTTTTATTTTTTTAGGAGTAAAGTATACTGGCACATTGGTCCATCTGTATGAGGCAAGACCATTTCAATTTCTTGATTTTTTATATAAATTTTTTTTCAGGAAACTTCAAGTGCGTGCTAATTCAGACGGTATAACTTATTATAATTGCACGATGTGCAGTTTTAAAACAAAATATAAGTACAGCATTAAAATTCACATGACCATGATGCATACAAATCCGGACGAGATTATCATGTACTCTTGTTCTCTTTGTTCTTTCCAAACAAAACACAAACGATACTTGGAAACCCATATGCTCGTCCACAAAGATCCGGAACAATGTACGATGCACAAATGTAAAATATGCTCTTTCAAAACAAAATTCAAAAGCTACATGAAGACGCATATGCTAATCCATAAAAATCCGAATGAGATCACTATGCATAAATGCCAGTTTTGTCCCTTTCAAACTAAACATAAGAAATACCTGGAGACCCACGTTTTGATCCATATGAGTCCAGATATGATCCCTATGCACCGTTGCGTCAAGTGTGATTTCCAAACGAAATCGAAACCTTATCTTAAAACCCACATGCTCACCCATAAGCAACCGGGGGAAGTTCCTATGTACCAGTGTAACGAGTGCAGTTTTCAGACCAAGTTTAAATACTATTTGAATAGGCACATGATAATACACAAAAATCCGGACGAAATTACTATGTACAAATGCGAGCAATGTTCCTTCCAAACCAAGCACAAGAAATACCTGGAGACTCACAACACCATCCACAAAAGCCCCGACGAGTTGATTATGTACTCGTGCACGTTATGCGAGTTTCAGACCAAGTCAAAAGCTTACCTCTTCAAAACTCACATGCAAATCCATAAAAGTCCAGACGAGTTGATCCTCTTCAAGTGTGAATTGTGTGCCTTCAAAACTAGACACAAGAGCTACCTGGAGACGCACATGCTGACACACAAGAGCCCTGACGAGATAACCATGCACACCTGCGCGGAATGCGACTTTCAAACGAAATTCAAACATTACCTCAAGAGGCACATGCTCATCCATAAGGCACCTGACGAATGCGTCATGTATAAATGCCAAGAGTGTTCCTTCGAGACCAAACACAAGAACTATTTGGACACTCACATATTATACGTTCACAAGAGCAAGGACGAAGTAACCATGCACTCGTGCACCCAGTGCGACTTTCAGACCAAATCGAAGGGTTACCTGAAAACCCACATGTTGCTCCACAGGAGCCCCGACGAGATTACCATGTACAAATGTAAGAGGTGTAGATTTAAGACTAAACATAAGAGTTATCTGAAAACTCACATACTTCACATGCATAACAGGAAGTGGTTATACAAGATTTAGGTGGGGGCGAGAGTAGGAGCTTCAATGTGGACCACTTCAGGTGATGCTGTACTGTTAGTAGCCCGTTATTTTATTTTATTTTTATTTTTTGTAAAGTAGGTACCTCATGCCTGCAGGGTTGGTATGTTACGTTTGGAAACTACGTGTGCTAAATATCATGTCTCATAATGCTCTAATAATTGGCCTCATTTATGGACCAATTGAGGCTTCTCCTATTTTTGTTAACCCCCTTACTAGGGTGATATTATTGCTATATTTACTTACCAGTTTATGAGTCTTTAATTTAATGTACCATGGTTTTTCTGGTTGTTATGCCATGGCCTTTATACATATATTGCACTTCCTTAACCTTAGCTAGGAATCATCGACTTGCCCTTTTTGTTCTCGGGCTAGGCTCTGTGGTATCAGAACCCCTTGGTCTGCTCTGGTTCTTATTGTCAATTCTAACGCCGCATCCAATGCTTCATTGTTGCCATCTTCAACGGCTTCATCACGATTTGAGTAACAGTTGACCCCTGAACTGTTCCGTCTGTAGCAGAACTAGAATGAAGGCCTAGGAGTTCTAATAGCGGGTCTGACCCCACAGAACCTAGTCTAAGAACAACAAAGGTAGGTCAAAGATTCCCAGTTAAGGCTACGGAGATACAATGTAAGTCTGTCTTCTCCATAGAAAAAATAAACTGCCACTTACACTTTTTTCGAGCCAGTTAAGGAATATTGCAAAATAAAAATAATCAAACGAATATTAAATGTAACATAACCACTACAGTGTTAAAGAATGTTCTTTAGTATGGGATGTTTTCTAATATTTTGTTTGTATGCTTTTATCAAAGTAGTCTTATTTTTTTATAAATTTATTTATTGATTGTTATTTACAAAATTCACTTCAAGTGGTCCCAATTATACTATAGGATTGGATATACATGAAACTTCTGATTTTCTGCCTTTACTGATCTCACTTTTAACAAATTGTGAGCCAAAGTTCCAAAAACCAAATCGTTGAGAATTTACAGGAATGAGACTTTTTTTTAACTATTTAACTTTTTAAACTTAACCGTTCCTACTTTTTTTGTTCTAAAAATTATTTCACGAACATTTTAAACGATTTTTCATGACTGACACAGCCACACAAAAAAAAGTTGTACTTTTCATGTGACATGTTATCCGTAGTATTTTTTCCTCCTGATCACAAATCCAGTGTCGGAATTGAGCTATCAAATTACAGGAATTTTCTAACCTCAAAAAACAGGTCGAAAATAGCAAATATTCATGAAAAAATGTTAGGAAAAATACAAAAAATTTTTTTTCTATATTCATGTTAATTTATTTGGTTGAGACCCCGCCGAAAGTGAATCCGCGGTCAGATTTGATGATTCTTTTTCTAACCTCAAAAAAATGGATCCGAGTTCAATTTTGCAAAATTGAAGATGGCGGATCCAAGATGGCCGAACAATTTTTCAAAACATTCGCGCCAAATTTGGTATGCGGGGATTTTCGGGGTCGTTGATCACGGATCCGAGGTCAATTTTGCAAAACTCAAGATGGCGGATGACCCTGAAAACCTCCGTATACAAAATTTGGCGCGAATGTGTTATTTTTTTATAATTTGGTCGGCCATATTGGATCCGCCATCTTGAATTTTGCGAAAAGAGACCTCGGATCCGTGATCAGCGACCCCTAAAATCCCCGTGTCCCAAATTTGGCGATTTTTTGATGACGTGATTTTTTTTGTATTTTTCCTAGCACTTCGTGAATTTTTGACCTGTTTTTTGAGGTTAGGAAATTTCTGTGATGTGATAGCTCAATTTTGACACCGGATTCGTAATCGGGAGGTAAAAATACTCCGGATAACATATGTCGCATGAAAAGTATAACTTTTTTTTGTGCGGCTGAGTAATTAAGTAAAAATAAAATCATTACTTCTAGTAGATTTGTCTTCTAAATATGTTTTACTTCTTTCAACTCGCAGGTGTGACTAAATACTTTGTACAGAATTTTTCATTGAAGTTATTTTTTTTTTTATTTAATGTGGAAGAAATATAGAAAGCTGATCTTTTAGAACTAGACATTTACATCACTTGTAATGCTGCAATATGTTCAAATAAATATCATTTATTAGTAACATACATAAGAGTATAACTCTGTAACAACTAAGTAAACATTATTTTACTGACAATATTCGCATATTGCGGCACTCTTAAATGTGCGCTAGTATTAAATTAAAATCATGAAGAAGTACGGTTAGTTACATTCTTCATCAGGGCTGATATCGCTCCTCAAAGTTCCTTCGCTATTCAGAGACAACATTTTGTGGGACATAAATTATTATATCACTACTTGGAATACGATAAATATTACTTTTTTAACACAAAATTATTAATTTATCAGACCTTGATTAACATCGATGTTAATTTCTTTGTTGTTCCTCTTTGTTTTAACAAAAGTCAAAGTAAAGAAAACACTATGTTCCGCTAACGAAATAGAGGCGTAGTTGCTGTTAACTCTAGTTTTAATTCTTTTAGCTATATATTCTCGTGCCATGTAATTTACATTTTATTTATATGAATTCATTTGCTTTAAAGTACATGTATTGGAATATGTGACTGTTTCGTTTTCTGTTTTTGTCATATATAGTATGCTATATACAGTGCTGGTCATTTCTCGATTACGATGCGGGGAGGATAGAGGGAGCCACTTTTATGGTCGTTANGGCTTTTAAAACGAAAATATTCAAATTGATAGCGGCGATACAGCGCTTTGACAGATGACGTTTAAGTTCATTTGCTATACGCTACGCCCTACGTCCAAATTTTCAGAACCAACTTGACCATGTTTTTATTAGAACGCTCGTTATTTGTGTATGCTGCTCGAATTTAAACTATTTTTTCTATATCTTTAATACCCAAGGAAAAAAATTTTTTTAAGTTGGATTTTCCTTGGTTCAATATCATAATCTCTGCGTTATTTTTTCTCCTTGTGGTTATAAAAAAAGTTTCAGGCATAAAACTGAAGTGAACATAATAAAAGAATTACATGAACGTTTCGGCAATGCTGTAAATCGAAGAAAACCTTTTCTAAAAGCGGTTCTGGATAAGTGGAGCAATTATTTATACGAACTAATCCAATTTGGAACATCTTTAGGCATACCTAAACTTATTTAAATTAAAAGATTAAAATGAAAACTATAAAACATCCTGTATAAGACCCATCACTATATTTCAAAGTTAAAAAAACTTAAATAATCTTAACATTTGTGAAATTTAGTAATTCCATTCAGAAAATACTTATTGACATAATTCAAGGATTTTAATCTAAGAATTCCAGTTTTTGAGGTTTGTTTTCGTCAAGTTACCTTTTTAATTAAATCTTAACCCCAGTGTACGCGCACTTAGTACAGAAGAAACATGCTAGCAACAAAAAGGTATTTGTGTAACAGCATAACAAAACGTTTTGGCACTAAATCAAGCAGACGTTCCCAATACATCAGAAATACAAAATAACGTTTCGGGTATGTACAGATTTACAGAAGGTTTAAAATATACAGCTCGTATTAAATATATTTGATATTGCCAACAAATTTTAAATAATCTTAAAGTTATAGTGAATGTAGATATAGCTTACAGACAATTAAAATTTTTACCTTAGTTAGAAGTCTGCCAAACGATTATAATAATGATCACAGTTAATATTACAGCACCGATTATGGCCAAAATTAACTTCTTCCTTCTTACTTTGTTTTTGTAAGTGCTGGCTTCGCGTAGCTGTTGAGCTCCCTGTCTCACAAAATCGTCAGTCCTCTCTACGCTAGCCTCGATGCTGTCTATGGTTTCACCTTGCTCGTGGACCAGCGTTCCTAATTCTTTGAATATCTGATTCACGTCGTTTATATCACTCTGTAAAACATAGCAGTTGTAAATGTGTTCAGTTTATGCAAATAAAAAAAATTACTTACTCGTCAAAACTGTAATACTAATAATAATCAGTTACATCCGCGATAAAATATATTTACCTCCAACTGTCTAATAGACTGCTCCTGCTCCTGTAAAGATCTTAAATCAGCCTCTTCCTGTAACTGCAACTGTTGTCTTGCACCACTATCTTGTAACTCGATAAGTTGTTGATCCTTACTTTTATAACCAGCTGCAAAAACATTCATTCTTTTAAATGTTAAACATTTTTGTATCTATTTGACTTACGAAGATGTGGTTCACTGTAGGCCTGAGCTTTAGCTTTGTTAACCTGCTCTTTTTCCTTTGAAGCTGTACTTCGCTGTACTTGCTGAAACATGTTCAGTGTACTTGTAAATTCATCTTGTAACCTTTCCCTCTGCATTTTCCTTTGCCGCTGCTCTGATTGTGATAGTGCAGGTTGTATCGCACTAAGATCCTTGATGTATCCATTAGTATCTTTAACGAGTTGTTGAGTGTAATGCTGGATGGAATGTCTAAAAATATTTCAAATAATAATAAATAATCAAATTAACATACACATAATGAACAAATTAGACCATACATTTATGACAAGTTTAGACGTTTCGGATTAGACATACTGCTTCCAAATTGTAAATAAAAAATTTATCAAAAGAAGATAACCATTAACTAGCAATTCAATATGGTTACATGGTTCTATCAAAATATATAAAGAATGCAGTTAAAAAATTACAAAGCGCACCATTTTGTTTTTAATGATCACTATCAAAAATGACAACAAATGTAAACAGTTCTTTCTCAAATAAATGCAATATTACTTACAATTGTTTCCTTAATTCTGGAGAATCCTGATGAGTTCCAATTTGATTTACCATTCGCTGCATAGAAGAAACTAAAATATTTAGGAAGTTAGCATAACACGGAACAAAAAAGCCTTTTACTAACCATTTTGTGATATTTTCTGAATACTTGTTCCAATAGTTTGGGAGAGCTTCTGGAAGTCTTGCTCTCTAACCTGCACACCATTTTGATAGGAGGAGTAATTGCTATCCATATTTAAGCGTTTATAACACAGTTCTAAAATCAACAATTACACCATTGTTACAATACTACTTATGTACAAGGAAATAAACCTACCTCAGTAAATCATTCAGATATTAAAATTAGAAAATGATAAAATAATTTCAAGTTTAATCCCTCCACCAATCAATATTTTTTTGACGTAAATTGGTGATTCATTCTAGTTTATATACACTTATCTGAGGAAACAGAAAAATATAAACTGACAGATTAGACAAATGACAGATGTCATATGTCACGTGTCATTATCCACAAACTAGTAATTTTGTTTCTAGTTCTGTTTTGTGGGAAACCTACTTACCGAAGTACATAGTTCCATGGTCAACCATAAGGTCCATGACTTTAGTCACTAAATTGTGTTCCATCATGTCGATTCCTCCCTTGAGCCAACCATATTTTTAATTTCCGTTTTGAAACGTTTATAACCCGAGACAACCCTACAATTGGTTTTATAAGCTTCATACTACTATGTTTTTAACAAAATATTTATAAAAAAAATAAGTAACATGAAAATTCAGCACCGAATTTAAAAATTTATGAATTGATGTACTCGCATATCTAACTTCTAACAACTGTTGACAACAGTGATAATTTTTGATATTTATTGCATTGGCAACATTGTACAGAAGGTGAAGTATGCTGAAGTCGAACGTCGTTGTACTAATGATATCGACATATTTTTGTGTAAAAAGTTGTGTGTTAAGTAGGTAATTAAGTGTAACTAGTGTTTCTTCATATATCCAATGATATTTGGAAATTTTGGAACTTATTGTGTAAGTGATTGCTTTTTGTACGCAAGGACAAGATGGTCTAAAAGTTCAGCTGAAATTGCTCCCACCGGTCGCCATATTTGTTATTTTCATTATTTAACGGTGTTCATTAATTCGTATTATTTTTTTTTCCGACTATATTAAATATTACTATTACTTATTCGCTGTGTTATTATTATACTTATACGATTCAGAAATATCTTAACTTTTATGTTTTTTGAGATGTTCTAAAAGCTTAAAGGGATAGTAGATAGTTTGTAAACATTATAGAAATAAACTTTAATTCCAGATATCATTTGTAAATGATTAATCTTAATAGAAGTAATTGTGGATAAATTATTACAGTAAAGATGAATTCTGAACCATCTTTACCCTTACATACTAAAATTAAGGAGGAGGAGGATGCATCCAATATTATAGATTTAGGTAAGTTGCAAAACGTTATATTTTTTTTTGAGATTAATACGTCTACATGTTTCAACAGATCTAGATAAAACACCAGAAGATTTAGTGCATGAATGGGAATCAAAGGTGCGAGTGAAATTTAAAGAATGTGCTATCGTTGAGAGTGAACACAGTCTGGACATACTTATGAAGTGGTACATTAAGTAAGTACATATTTTATATTCACATTGTTATATTTGAAGCTTTTCAAAAGTGCCTGTTCTATGATTTTATGATAATGAAATAAATTATTATTATTTCTTAATGACATTCTTGATATTACAATAGTGAATATTAATGTGGCTATTCGTAATGATAAGACTTCATGTTATAACATTCTGGTAGGTTGTCAGTAGAGTGAAATCACGTGTTTTACATACTATAAAATAGAATTTTTCATTTAGTTTACTTACAAAAATTATATATTTGATACGTGTCAGAATTTGTATTACTGGATCTTAATCTAGTTCTTTAATAATATTAATCTACTTCAATGTTTTATGAAAAAAATTCTGCAAACTATGCTAGTTGTCGGTCAGTTTATTCTAGTAATGCGATGCTACTTTTAGGTGATATTTTTCTTTATATAAGTAATTGGTCGCTATGTGGCCGAAGTTATTGAATTTAATATTCTCTAGTGCCCGAGAACCAGCAAAGGCTGAAGACAGGCGGAGCCACCCAATATATTTTATTAAATATAAGAGACGCATGTTTATTCAAAGTGAGTTAACTATTATAAAATAATAGTTGGGAGCTATTATGCCATTTATTGTTTTTACTTCCTATTGTAAATTGTTTTATTTTGTAAAACTTCTAAGAATAATTTTACTACATTTTTCTGGCACAGCTTTATGACAAAATTTCTGTAAATTTTATAATAGCATAAAATGGTAAAAATCAATTGCTAGATTTTGGTAATATAAGGATGAAAATAAAAATATGGCTCAAAACGATACTTTATTGATGAAATAAAATCAATATAGACCAATAGCCATCATCTAAAGTTTTTTCATAATATAGCAAAATAATGTCATTGGAAATATATGTTTTCTACTCTCGGAATTGAAGACTGGTGCAAGAAGGCGATAAGTAACAATATATGTTTTTTAAGCCAATATTTTTTGTTATACTATTTGGCTAAATAGGCATAACATTCATATCAATAGAGATAATATTCCTATAAATATTTGTATATGGTGCAAAAATGGGATTTGTGAATGTGTTGTTTTATTTTTAAATTTACTCCAAGTGGAAGAAGTGGATAAGTCATTTATCTTTCTGCCTACAGAATTATTACTTGCAAAATAATATTTAAAGCAAACAAATTGCCAAAACAAATATGAAGTGTGAAAAACTGACATAATGAAATCCGACTATGTATTTATTTCAAGAAGAGTGAAATAAGTGTATTAAATTAAGGTCCACATTTTTTCACAGATGGTTGTTTGATTTTATCCTGATGAACCGTCATTGCAAATAACCGAGTAAAATTATTTGTGTGATATTGTTTAAAATCTCAAAATGGCACAGTAAATTTTAATGTTGCAACAAAGTCAGTTTTATCATTATTACATTGTCAAAATATATGTTTATTTATTGATTTATTTTATTAAGTTTTCCCGAGTTTTGTTTGTATTTATTTTTGTTGGGTTTTATTAACATTCATTAAAATTTAGTTTCTTATTCTTAAGAATACTCAATGCTACCTTATATAAAAGTAATTAACACTAATTTTTAATTGTGACGTAAATTGACCTGCTAGTGTGTTTAGCAGTGAGTGATGTATCTTATCTGATAAGAAATTTCAAGAATTTAACAAAATCTGGAATTATGTAAGACATTCTTTATCTACGCTTGGTGTATAACTTAATAAAATTGTGTATTACTACTTAACATATTAACCCTCCTGTTTATATATAAATTGCATATTTTTTTGCTTACCTCATCTATCAGTGGTTATTATTATCATTTAGAATGTTACCTAGTTATCAACCATAAACCTAATGTAAGCAATAATAAAATAAATACAACATCTGTATGAAATACTTAAAACAATAAATAAAAATTATGTTTAATAGATATTTATAGGTTTTTTCGGATACCGAGAATTTGAAATCAAAAGATGTCTTGCATTTTGGAAATCGAATATTTGATACCTGGCCACTGTTTTTAATTGAATAGTCCAAGCAATCGAGGCTCAGGCATAACATTTAAAGATTAACATATTAAAGGTTTATTAACAATGTTTATCCAAACATTTTTCCTACAAATTGGATTAAGATGATTACACTTTTTGAAAAGTCTTTCTGTAACTTCTTTCAAGTCAGCTTATGTAAATCGGAAATAGGTTACATATATAAATGTGAATCAAATATTGCTACTTTTAATTGAGTAGTTTCTTAGAAATGAACGAATAGAATTTACAAAATTTGAAAATTCATTTCGTCATCCAATTGCATTATTGCTTTACACTTAGGTTTTGCAGATGTTGAGTGTATAGGGAAAATAAGGAAACAATTTTTCATACATCTGTAAGCGCAGTAGTAAATACACCAGAGGCAGATTATTTTTGTTAGTATATGCTATTAAGATTGTTCGACAAATTTTTTTATTTATTACAGATTAATAACATTAGTAGAGACTGAAATATCACTTATAGAATTTGTAAAAATGCACTATTTTTAATTATGATTAGTCTGTGCTAACAATCTGTGATATTTATAGTCATAAATAGTTTACATTTTAAGAAAAATGCATAGTTATCTTCGATTATGAATATCCTTTGAATATTCATACGAAAAAATCAAGGGTTTATTATAATTTATTATATTTTAATAAATCAAGAAATCTATCTCTGGTTATATCCGACAAAACACAGTTTTGGTGAAATAAATAACACTACCACCAAAATAGGATGTGTTGCTTTGGAGTGAGTTCGACACCACTGCTTAAAAGTATTATTATTTGCATAGCAGTTTCAGCTGCTGTTTTAAAATATTTTGTTTTTTTGGTCATTTTAAAACTTACGTAAATGACAATGAATGGAATGGAAATTTTGGTGCCATGTATAGAGGTACTATATTTCCTGATAATTTCTATCAAAAATGAATATCTTAATTTAAATGTTATACATATATTTCAAATAATCAGAACATTAATGTAAAATTAATTTACTGTAGCATTAATAAAATTTAACTTGGAAATAATCTTATGTACTTTCTCAAAATTAACGCACCATTAAAAATGGTTTTCTCGCAAATGGCTAATCTGACCTTGATGGTCTTTTTTCTAATTATAGGGTTTGTTTTCCAGTTACGACGCTAAGTTAGAAATTTTTATTAAAACTATAATTTTTAGTTTACATAGGACACAATTTTTTTTTCTGAAATTTAAAACACATCCTACACAATATCTCTTCCCTGTATCAGTTATACAAGTTTTCTCCAGGGTATAAGACAGTTTTTCATGTTGGCAATACATTCAGAATGAAGAATTGATTATAACTATTCAGTTTTTTACAAACTTCTCGACAAAACAGGAAAAGTGCATGTTTACATGTGTGCCTATATTTTCTGTGATATTTCACTGCAAAGAATTAAAACACGAAAGTTCATAAAAATTTTGAAATAGAAGCATTTATTTCAAAATTTTTATGAACTTTCGTGTTCTATCGTCTTATTAAAAGTTTTGTGTATAAAACTTAACACTTGAGGGGTTAACAACATAACTGAGAAATAAATCTATAATTAATGTATGTATTGCAAATAGAATTTTTTTATTTAGGTTGATAAAAGAAGAAGCTGTAAATTTGGAAGACTTTCGAACCCTGAAAAAATTCGTAATGAATCATTTGCTGTTCCTTAAACTTTACTTTGTCGAATTAAATTGTTGTTTTGTGGATAATTATTTAGATAACATGGAGGAAATATTGTCATTTTATGTGAATGTAGAAGTAAAATTGTTACCAGCGAAGCAGCAAAGTGGTAACAAGCGTACTTATAAGAGAATTCTTTCTTCGTTGTGCCACCAAATAATTTCTGTGTTAAATTTGTATCTTTTGAATAGAGAAGACCGAGTTTGTCATGTTGTAATGAAAGTGAAATTAAATTTACAATCGGGCGAGAGTAAGGACTTATTAAACATTCTTTATGGGTAAGGATTTCCATTAGTTTGATAATTACAGTTTATTTTTAATGTTACGTTCCTCAGGAATTTTTTAATGAAAAGACCCAAGGAAAAATCGGATTTAGAATTTTGTCGGGCGTACATTTTATATCAAAAATGGAAAACGATCAGGAAACCAGACGACTGGGAGAAAATGGACGAAGTTATGTATAATTTACATGAAAGAACACCCGATTCTATAAAATCTAGTCCAATTCTGAAGCAGATCCTTCTTCCACAAAATAACTCCATCCTCGACACTTTGACTCACATTTCTGAAAAACATCTAATTATTTCAGAAGAATACTTTAAGTATATTAAATCCAATAAACTTCACGAAGATAATATAATAGCGTCGGGAATCGACGACATTGAAATACAAGACGATGATATTATTTCAGATCTAGTGAGTTGAATAAATTAGAGTTGGTAAATATTTACTTTATTTTCAATTTTTATAGGTCGGAGACGCAGAAGATCAGGAGTTCGAGGAAGCTTATAAGATTCATGTAAGAAGTATGTCATGTCTATACTTGGAAAATATCAGAGGGTCGCTTGAAGCGGTGAATATTAAAGAGGAAAATGAGAGCGATGACGAGGATTGCCAGATTGTTGCGGTGAGCTCCCTTGGAAAAAATCGAGATGACGCAGACATGGTTCACGAAATTTTGGAGGACGATGATATGGAAATAATTTACATGACAAAGAAGGACGACAAACAGGTAAAATGTGTCGAGTAATCATAGAACTGTTGTATGACTTAAACCAGTGTTTTATTTAAATCGTTTAATTATGTTTTTAGAATGCACCTCAAGAGGACAAAGGGAAAGGTTCAACATTATCATTCTTAGAATCCATTAAAGTCTCGGAATCTAGAGATGTTTCTATGGAGAGGGTATCCTCGTCGACCAGTAACGGATACGCTTCTCNTGTTAGTATATGCCATTAAGATTGTTCGACAAATTTTTTTATTACAGATTAATAACATTAGTAGAGACTGAAATATCACTTATAGAATTTGTAAAAATGCACTATTTTTAATTATGATTAGTCTGTGCTAACAATCTGTGATATTTATAGTCATAAATAGTTTACATTTTAAGAAAAATGCATAGTTATCTTCGATTATGAATATCCTTTGAATATTCATACGAAAAAATCAAGGGTTTATTATAATTTATTATATTTTAATAAATCAAGAAATCTATCTCTGGTTATATCCGACAAAACACAGTTTTGGTGAAATAAATAACACTACCACCAAAATAGGATGTGTTGCTTTGGAGTGAGTTCGACACCACTGCTTAAAAGTATTATTATTTGCATAGCAGTTTCAGCTGCTGTTTTAAAATATTTTGTTTTTTTGGTCATTTTAAAACTTACGTAAATGACAATGAATGGAATGGAAATTTTGGTGCCATGTATAGAGGTACTATATTTCCTGATAATTTCTATCAAAAATGAATATCTTAATTTAAATGTTATACATATATTTCAAATAATCAGAACATTAATGTAAAATTAATTTACTGTAGCATTAATAAAATTTAACTTGGAAATAATCTTATGTACTTTCTCAAAATTAACGCACCATTAAAAATGGTTTTCTCGCAAATGGCTAATCTGACCTTGATGGTCTTTTTTCTAATTATAGGGTTTGTTTTCCAGTTACGACGCTAAGTTAGAAATTTTTATTAAAACTATAATTTTTAGTTTACATAGGACACAATTTTTTTTTCTGAAATTTAAAACACATCCTACACAATATCTCTTCCCTGTATCAGTTATACAAGTTTTCTCCAGGGTATAAGACAGTTTTTCATGTTGGCAATACATTCAGAATGAAGAATTGATTATAACTATTCAGTTTTTTACAAACTTCTCGACAAAACAGGAAAAGTGCATGTTTACATGTGTGCCTATATTTTCTGTGATATTTCACTGCAAAGAATTAAAACACGAAAGTTCATAAAAATTTTGAAATAGAAGCATTTATTTCAAAATTTTTATGAACTTTCGTGTTCTATCGTCTTATTAAAAGTTTTGTGTATAAAACTTAACACTTGAGGGGTTAACAACATAACTGAGAAATAAATCTATAATTAATGTATGTATTGCAAATAGAATTTTTTTATTTAGGTTGATAAAAGAAGAAGCTGTAAATTTGGAAGACTTTCGAACCCTGAAAAAATTCGTAATGAATCATTTGCTGTTCCTTAAACTTTACTTTGTCGAATTAAATTGTTGTTTTGTGGATAATTATTTAGATAACATGGAGGAAATATTGTCATTTTATGTGAATGTAGAAGTAAAATTGTTACCAGCGAAGCAGCAAAGTGGTAACAAGCGTACTTATAAGAGAATTCTTTCTTCGTTGTGCCACCAAATAATTTCTGTGTTAAATTTGTATCTTTTGAATAGAGAAGACCGAGTTTGTCATGTTGTAATGAAAGTGAAATTAAATTTACAATCAGGCGAGAGTAAGGACTTATTAAACATTCTTTATGGGTAAGGATTTCCATTAGTTTGATAATTACAGTTTATTTTTAATGTTACGTTCCTCAGGAATTTTTTAATGAAAAGACCCAAGGAAAAATCGGATTTAGAATTTTGTCGGGCGTACATTTTATATCAAAAATGGAAAACGATCAGGAAACCAGACGACTGGGAGAAAATGGACGAAGTTATGTATAATTTACATGAAAGAACACCCGATTCTATAAAATCTAGTCCAATTCTGAAGCAGATCCTTCTTCCACAAAATAACTCCATCCTCGACACTTTGACTCACATTTCTGAAAAACATCTAATTATTTCAGAAGAATACTTTAAGTATATTAAATCCAATAAACTTCACGAAGATAATATAATAGCGTCGGGAATCGACGACATTGAAATACAAGACGATGATATTATTTCAGATCTAGTGAGTTGAATAAATTAGAGTTGGTAAATATTTACTTTATTTTCAATTTTTATAGGTCGGAGACGCAGAAGATCAGGAGTTCGAGGAAGCTTATAAGATTCACGTAAGAAGTATGTCATCTCTATACTTGGAAAATATCAGAGGGTCGCTTGAAGCGGTGAATATTAAAGAGGAAAATGAGAGCGATGACGAGGATTGCCAGATTGTTGCGGTGAGCTCCCTTGGAAAAAATCGAGATGACGCAGACATGGTTCACGAAATTTTGGAGGACGATGATATGGAAATAATTTACATGACAAAGAAGGACGACAAACAGGTAAAATGTGTCGAGTAATCATAGAACTGTTGTATGACTTAAACCAGTGCTTTATTTAAATCGTTTAATTATGTTTTTAGAATGCACCTCAAGAGGACAAAGGGAAAGGTTCAACATTATCATTCTTAGAATCCATTAAAGTCTCGGAATCTAGAGATGTTTCTATGGAGAGGGTATCCTCGTCGACCAGTAACGGATACGCTCCTCTTCCTGGGACAAATAGTTTGGTAGAAACGTCAAGTAAAACAGAAGTTGTAATAGCAGATAGCCCCATGTCAGATTCCCTCAGACAAAAACCATCACCGGAAATTCCTAATATCGACACAGTAACATCAGCAGCTGGAACAGAGCCATTGCAAGAAGTCACTCCTGTGGAATCGGAACTAACTGAGAGGAGAGACGATACGAACCATCCATCCAAAGCGAAAAGTGTGATTGACGTTGGAGCTGTTGAGGACGTGTCGGAATCTAACCCTAGTCCCACCGTAAAGAAAAGTGTCGTCAGTATAGAAACACAAACCGATGAATGGCCCATGGATGAAGCTAACGACAAATCGTCTTCATCGGAAAAACATGCCGATCAAAGCGGTATATGCAGGAATTATTATTATTATGGCCTCGACACGCCTCCTTCTGATCAGCTTCCCGACGAACAAATTCCCCCAGTTCCAGAATCTGCAACATATCCCAAGGTGTACGCTAACATCGTAAGATCTCACAGTCCGAATGAAGCTGATAGTCTTACCAAAGCAACTGAGACTGATCGTTTGTCACCTTCAGTGGACGATAATGATAACGATGATAACAGTAAGAGATCAGCCGATCTTACACCAAATTCAGTAGTGCAAAGTGAACCGTGTTCCTCGAGAAGCATAAATGAGAATAGCCCGAATTTTATAGAGGCAGAGTTTATACCAAATGTTGCACCTAATACGAGGAAAAAACATAAAAATTTGGAAAAACCTCTGGAAAATAAGACAAATCGTCTAGATTCGACAGATATTGAGTCTAATACCAAGAAGAAACGGAAAAGGTCTAAAAAACCTCCAGAAAATAATGAAATTAGAATAGACACAATATTTACGCCAGATGTTGAGCCTAATACGAAAAAGAAACATAAAAAATTGAGTAAACCACCAGAAAGTAAGCAACAACTTTTAAACACATTATTTACACCAGGTGTCGAGTCTAGTGCGAAAAAGAAACATAAAAATTTGAATAAACCATCAGAAAATAATCCGAATCTTCTAGAAGCGTCGTTTATATCAGACGTCGAGCCTAACACCAAGAAGAAACGTAAAAAATTTAACAAACCACCAGAAAATAATCCGAATCTTCTAGACGCAGAATTTAGGCCGGATATTGAGCCAAATACGAAAAAGAAACGTAAAAAATTGAATAAAACGCCAGAAAATAACCCAAAACATCCATATGCAGCATTTACACCAAACGTTGAGCCTGAGATGAAGAAGAAACGTAAAAAATTACACAAACAACCAGAAAACAGTCCGAAACGTAAAAAGTTTAATAAAACACCAGGCTTTGATGATCCCTGTTCTAGTCGCCGAAGTACCTCACCTAGAACTCTTCCCAACTGTGAAGAAAATCAGGTGCAACACGTTTCTAACAATTTTCAGTCGAACGATTCAGTGCCGGTCGGCGAAGGCAGAAGTTTTCCTCAAACACACACCGACCTTGAAAACATTTCCTCACTCGACATAAGCACAAACGCTTACCATAAGACTGCCGATACGAGTAGTCGAGCGAATTTACGTTCTCCCTCACCGCTCAAATACAGAGACAGTAATATCCACGAAACCTCAACAAACGTCCCTTGCACTTCGCTCGATGTCGTCATCACTTCTGCCGAATCCAACAGTACCGTGTTCAACGAGCAAAGGAAGTCCGCAGATATATCAAACGCCTCGCCGGACGTCACTAGCACCTCAATGGACGTGCAAGATTTCGGTGAAACGCTCTGTAACGGAGAAATACACATCGAAGAATCCCAACTGGTGTATCACCACCTAAGTGTCGATACGACGCATAATGAGAATTATTCCTCGGAAGAGTACGTGGAATACGCCGAATGCAGCGGAAGTGGGGAGTTCAACAACGAGAGCGTGACGCAGAGTAATATAGTGGAGGATGGGGAAATCTACATCGAAGAACCCGTTTTGATGACGAGCGGGGAAGAGTTCACTTACTTTGTGCACGAAACTCTACCTGTAGGAGCGAACGTAAATATATACAGCGAAGAATTATCGCCTAATAGTCACGTCGTTGACGCAGATCATGAAAGTGCTAGGACTGAAACGGAGAAACACGACCAGCCTGCTGTTTCTCTCAAAGAATTAAAAGTGTCCGTAGAAAAGATCAGGTTAGGCCCCCACGACCGCGCCGACATTAGCTCTGTCGACGAATTCTCTAAATTTGAAGAGAGGGTGCAGCAATGGACCAAGTTGAGGGAGACGCACGATTTAGATGAAATATTCTGCGGACCTGTCTCCAAGATAAACGAGACTAGTAGCTGTGTTAATCCTGATGCGAATTTTGATCTCTTTAACTCGAAGCCCTGTAATTCCGCTGTACAGAGTACTAGTGAAGTAACATCTCCCCCGTACGAAGCCATTGAGGATTTTAGGACTTACTTTGAAGAAAGTAAAAACAACGGGGAAGACGTCCCCTCCACATCGAGCAAAGCTTACGCGGATGAAAATATCGCGACCACCAGTGCCATAATTCCTGATCCGCCTCATTCTACCGACAACAGTAAAGTCACCGGTCTATTAATACCCAGGACGCTCGAAAGTTTACAGGATGTCGGTGAAACTTCTGGTTCTGCCGTACCCTCCGATGATTCGGTCTTAAGTCCTCGTAGCGTAGAGAGGACTAAGAGTAAAAACACTAGAAGGGTACATATTGACGAGGAAGCCAGAGAATTTAAGGAGAGACCAGTGAAAATTCACCAAATCGGAGTTCTGCGGAGTATATTAAAAAAATCCTGTGAAAATTTAAAGGTGGAAGCGGTGGTACCCAAAAGCCGAATTCCGCCAGAGCAGATGAACCCGAATTCCTTAGAGGAATACGGCATAGCGCCGGACGATGTCCTTCTTCAGAGCATTCCGTGCGTTTCACTGAGTAGGCTCGGTGAAAACGTAATCGCCAGGTGGTTGAGAATGAGCGAAATAGCGTTCAAACTTAGGCAGTTACGGCAAAAAACTCATAACGGACCCGGGAAACCCATTAAAGTGGAGTACGACAAACAGATCTCGCCTCATATTAATAATAAAGACATGGTGCAGTACAACGCTAATGGTAGAAAAGTGAAAACGCCCCTCCCTGATACGTTCGGGCAGTGGAGGACTGCCACCGTCCCACAAACACAATCTGACAGGCTCGATGAAGGTACAGTAACAACTAACCTTAATGATAATGATTCCGCTAACATTCCTCCGCAGTGTACGAAATCTTATAAATCTCTCATTGTAGGTTTCACTAAATTAAAAATTTTGAGCACCGATGTAAAATGTAGTTCCCCTAAATCTAACCCGTTCCTTCCCCAAACAGATACAAAGAGAGAGATACATCTAGAAGAATGCCCCTTGAATGTCGACGTAGTTGAAAATCTAGTAGACTCTTGTCTCGAAAAAAAATTAGATTCTCAAGTCGTCTCAAATATCGAATCAGATTTAAATTTGTCTCAAATTAACAACATGAACGAGAGCCAGCAACCCGCCGTCGTACCAGAAGTGTCGGCATTCGAGAAGACCTTCGAACTCGAGGACATCGTGAAAATGTCGCCAATACCTGCGGACCTACATAACTTAAGCCTGCAGAAATTCTCCCCAAGTCCTTGCTTCAGTCCCCAGTCCGACGCCTTCCTTACCGACGCCTATCTCCTAGACAAGCCGGAAATGGAAAATACCGTCAAAATACGAGAATGTGACGAAACCGAAGCGAAGGAGGCCAAGGAAGAAGCCAAGTCAGAAAACGTGCCGAAACCGGGCATAAACTTACTGGAAAACGAGGCCGAAATTCGGCTACCTCTTAAAAAACGCAAACATTCCGTGGCGAACACGAAAGAAGAGACCGTCGAAGACGATAATTTCATGGGTCCCGATTTGGTCGAGGAAATAATAAAGAGGGCCAGGGCAGAGGAAGTCGAAAAGGAGGACATAAGCTACCCGGCGAAGCCCATGATTAGCATCGCCGAAATCCAAGAGAAGTTAGTCGAGCCTCCGCGCGTATTTAAAACTCCCGCGGAACGTAAGGAAATGCCTCCTCCGCCACCTCAGTCCTACCCAAGTCCCATCGAAGCTCCGAAAATCGTAACCGAGCAGTACAATAACCACACTTACAACAACCCCACAATAAACTATCACATGAACAACGTACCGTACCCGTTTTTCCCTTGCGCCAGCTTGTCGTATTTCCCTCCCATCTTGTTGCCGCTTAACAGCACGACGACGTTCGACATGAACTTGATGAACACTCAACAGCAATCGTCGGCAGTCCTACAAGAACAGACTCCCCGCCCGAGGAAGGAAAGGCGGTCCAGGGGACGGAAGAGGAATACGTAAACACTCGAACAGTGTACCACGCACCCGTTTTATCACTGTGATAGTTTACTTTTGACGTGGAAGTTGGTGAACGCTCAAGAACAACATACGCAGGAACCGTCGATGGTAACACACGAACAAACGTGCTGTTGAGAAGAGAAAGAGAAATAATAAAAAATAATATTCTAATGATGTACCCTCTCATTGCGTAACGTACCGTGTCTGTTTTCCCCTCGTTCCAACTTACTGTATTTCCCCTCCCATTTTAATACCAACAGCTCGATTCGGGGAGCTCAGCAGCAACCATTGACGGTGACACAAGAACTAGTTCGTCGTCCGAGAAGTCGAAGAAGAACAAGAAGATTAGTCATTTAATTAATTTTGTTTTGTTTTTAATGCTCAGTATTTAAATATCTAGTAATTTTTAACTGGCTGTGAATTTTCCTCAAGTAGTTTAATTTTTTTTTTTTATTAAATTTTTTCGTTGATATACATTCGTTTTCCGTTTCGAGAGAAGAATAACGAAGACGACAGGCAATAGTAGGACTGAAGAGAAGGAAGAATAGAAGCATCACCATAATTTTGCTGTTTGTTCTTTTTTTCCTATAATATATATAAATGTTGCATTTAAAGTTTTGAAATTTTATATTGTTGTGGGTGTAAATGTAGTCATTAATGAACGATGTTACCTGTAACTTATTTTTCTGAGTGTTAGTAATGTACATATAACTATGAATGTGAATCTAGCTACGTGGAAGACATCACCAATCAACTGAGGCATTTATTCCTTCTGTAATTGATAATTTGCAAGCGCTACATCTATTTTTCTTGGTCATGTTCCGTCTTCATGTTTATTCATTATCGTTTTTATAATTATTTTACCCCATTTAATTTTATTTTGGACGATTACCTTCAAAAGAAACAACATACCGCTCGTTACTTGTTAATGGATAGTAATAACCCCTTTCTGTTTTTTTAAGGTTTACAAGAGCTGCCTTATACGGAAAAGAAGACCGGCAAACGAAAAGGGCGCGGTAAGTTTCAAATTACTTTATTTTTGCGATTGTAACCAGTCGGAGTAGTGGCGACTGGTGACATTGAGAATATGCAATATTTGCATATTAATGAATAATGAATTTTCCATTTTAATTTGAGCATGTTTTTGTTATAATTTTTAAATCAGTCATGAAATGAGTACTAACCTCAGAAATAATTTGATTCTTCGGTTTTATACATTGCAAGTGATACTGCGCATAAAAACGAGACATTGCAAGAATCGATGAATGACTATATCGATATATCGGACAATTTTTTTTATTTTTTATGTAAAGAAGGTAGATCAAACTATTAACCACAGATTCTTTGTAAAAAGAATTTTGAACATTTAGTTTAGGCCGTGTTTCATTCAGACCCCCTTTTTTCAATACAGGGTGTCCCGAAAATAATGCAACAAAATTTAGTCATAGATTCTTAAGACAAATTCAGGGGACCTGTATTTTTTATTTTTGCCAAGTGGCCCCCTCTTTCGGAGAAATTCGCCCCTAAAAGTAGTCGTTTTATCTCGGGACCCTGTTGTACGAGAATCGTTAAATTTGGTATATAGGGGTTTTATGACATGTGGAATTGATGTTGTTATGCTTTTTGGCGGGGAACCCCTTTAAGACACTTTTTCGTGAGCCAAAAAAATTTTGTCGCATATTTGAATTTCTTGAAAATTATTAGTTCCCTTGTAATCCATTGCATTTAGAAACTTTTTTTTTTTTTGTTTTTTTTTTTGTAAAACGCTGTTTTTGAGAAAAATGGCGAATCACGATATGCATTTTTCTCGAAAACACTGGGTTTTATGAAAAAAGTATCAAGGTACAAAAAAAATTTCTAATTTTAATAGCTTTCTAGTGGACTAATAATTTTTAAGAAATTTAAATATGCGACCAAATTTTTTTGGCTCCAAAGACAAGAGGACCTATGAAAAATTGTTTTAAGGGTATTCCCCGCCAAAAAGTCTAGCACTATCAGATTCCACATGTGATGAAGCTCCTGTGTACCAAATTTAGTGATTCTGGTACACAGGTTCTAAGATATAAAAAAAAGACTATCTTAGGGGCGGATTTCAGGGGGCTATAACTCCGAAAGAGGGGTCCACTTGGCAAAAATAAAAAATACGGGTCCCCTAAATTTGTCTTAAGAATCTATAACCCAATTTTGTTGCATTAATTTCAGGACACCCTGTATACAGGTTGTCCAAGTTAAATTTAAAAAATAATTTTATCTTATTTTTTAGTTGAATATTTTCATAGGATTTTTTTATATGACAGAACATTTTTTGTGTAATATCGATTAAAAAAAAAATCAAAACACGAGCGGAGTAAATAAGGTGGAGATACCCATTACTACATTTTTTATGCGCCCTTAAGATTCATATATTGATAATCTAAAGTCTATTGAAAAAGAACCTTGTACCAAATTGTCATTGGATTGGAATTTTATACAAAAGAAAATGAATCGTTGATGAATTGATGCCATTTATAAACTTCTTGTTTAGTTCTCTTCACACTGTTTCAAAAATTCCCTTTCGAGCATTATAATTTTGAAGAATCTTTGTAGGTATAGTTTGTTTCCAGTAATAAGTATTAAATTTGCAAAAAATCACATAACTGAAAAAAAATATAGAAACAAAATTGATTAAAACGGTTTATTAGAAGGCCTAGTATCTTTGTAAGTTTTCAAACTAGTGTAATAGGAACTTATACCATCATTTTATGAGTAGAATCATTCTTTAAAGTTTTACTCTTAATTTCCTGTTACGTTTATACACCGTTTTCAAGGAACGTATTTTTATTTATATACAGTGTTCAATTTGTTTAAATAAAAAAGGTTTCTTCAAATGTTTTCCAAATCCGTAATAAAAATTGAAATTTTACAAAAAGCTGAGGTGGCACAAAAAATTTAACAGTTTTTTATAATTTATATGTTCTTAAATTGGTTTAAAAAAAATTGAACCCATCCTGTATAAACAAAGAAGTTAAGTGCTTCTGTCGATACTTTTGTATTTCACAAAATCAAAGAAATAAGAACGTAGCAGTCATTTATTTAAAAATTAACAAAATAACAAGAAATGTCAGTTATTTTTCTGTTTTTTGCAGATAGCCTCACAATGAATATTCCAACTCCAAAGAGAGGACCAGGTAAGTTAATCTACGACTGACTAAATATTTTTATAATCGAATTTTTAATTTTTAACTGAATATTTTGCTGATCAGTATTAGAAAATTTTATTGGAGAAAGTATTATCAAAATTATTCGAATTTTATAAGCATTGAAATAGTACCACGAAGGATGATTTTGGTGATGTAATTACGACACGTGTTTTCAGGGAGACCTCGGAAAACTTTCTAAAAAGTATCGGTATCGGCGAAACAACAAAGCGAAAAAGCCAGTGAGGGACTATAAGGCATTAACAAACAGTGGATACTGATAAAGCCTTTTTAAACTAGATTAGAGAATATAGTAGGATTGTCACACAAATTTAGTGCAATGTTCTGAAAGGACTAAAAAAAGTATACCTCTGTGCTGTAAAGCGTTCTATCTGTGATTCATAATTTAGAATTAATTAGTGATGTTCTCCATGTACATAGTGTATATTTGTATATAAATTATTGTAATTCTTGCTTATAAATTATGACATGTAAAGTACAAATAAAGTTTTTAATTTTCTATTTATCCTTAAAGATGTTTGTCAATCTCAAGTTACAATTGCTTTTCCGCAAAACTGGAAACCCTCGTTTCCATTTTTGAAGGGAAATTCTTCTGTTTGTTTAAATCGTATGTACAGATGAATGGTATATATTTATTTGTTTTTTTTTATATGTAATAAATATCCTTAAAATTATTAGATCTTTTCAATTGATTAAAAAGTAGCGATTTAAACGGATGTCCGTTTAAAACTTAAAATATTTCAGTCAGAGTTCTGAATGAATACTGTGCGACAAAAAAATGTGCAGTACAATTACATTAAAAACAAATACTCTGTTTGTCAGAATTAGTCCGTAAGGTCACCCGGAGCTATTTTTAAAGACTCGGAAAGAGTTTACTGATATGTCCCCTATAAATTTTATTGTCAGATGGTTCACATTTAACCGAAGAATATCTTGATGTAATTCGATAAAGAAAAATATATGTAAACAGTGTTTGAATCTGAATTGCCGTGTTTTCTCCATAAGTGTATCTATGTAACAAAATAAAACGTACCTATTGAATAACTCTTAAATTTTTACGATATACTCGTGAATATGATGTCCGTAATTAGCTCCATGTAAACAGGATTACGGGACATAACGTGGCAATACAGGCAGTATAAATCTGGCTTTTATCTTCGTTTTTCAGTTGATATCTGTTACCCACATTAGCCCAAACAGTTTAATCCACATAATTTTTATTTTTTTATTGTGCACAACAAAAAATACCTGTCGTTAATCCATATGTAGTGAGTAAATAACCTTGCCACTATTCGTGGAAGCAACAATATTTATTTCGTAGGATCTATTTAATTTCTTTCCTATTACAGTTTTTTTTTCAAAAATTTCAGGAATTAAAAGTTACTGAACTGCTGAACTATGAAATCTATTGTACGAAAATTGCTTATGACTTGAACAAGATCTAAAAATAGCTTATGATGTATTTTGATTCTGATAATTCTTAGGGATATTAAATCTGTTAAAAATAAGAAGTGGGGAATTCTTTTTTCAATGATCTAGAAAACAGGGTAAAAATTTAATTAGGAGTAAGTAGATTATTGTGAAAAAAAATTTCCCCAAAATTAGAATACATAATTTGGAGTAAAATACACTTCGCTACTAGTAATTGTAAGTATAACTTCAATAAGCACATAACACCTTTTTATCTTTCTGTGCTGTTTTTATGTTTTTTAATTTGATTTAATTTTTTTTAGCAAAATACCTATGAAAAATCAATTTCAGTTGAGCAGTCTCCACGTAGGTAGTTTTTTAAAATGATTTAGGTTGCACGGCTGTGGTAAATGTACCAATTAAATGTTTGTTGTACTTTCCATGTTTAGTGGCAAATATCTCATTGTAGTTTTATAATAAAATCTTGCTCTTAAGATTTACAACATTTTTGATTCCTTAATACCCACTAGTGTAACAAAATATTCGTATTCGTCAAAATATTCAGCACATCACTGCAATGAAAAATGTCTTGCATGGTACATAATTCTTCAAAAATTGAATTTTTAAATCGTGTAACAGTAATTATTAGTTTCATTCGAAAATTAATATTGAACTATTCCCTGCACAAATTTCTTATATATTAATGGCTTTGCAATTGAGCTTACGTTAACTCGATTTTATCACAATTTTTTATTTGAAGTACATAATTGTAAGTAATTTTGACGAAAATTTGGTAAAACAAGAAATACGTGCATTTTAAATTAACATTTGATATGAAAGTAATTAATAATTAGAACATTACGTACTATGGCAAAGATACAGAAAGACATGCGGCAAATATATGTACATGTGGTAAATTCTTATCCCAATAGTTTTTCTAATAAATATAGATTTCCGTCATTGTGTAATTTTACGAATTGTACTATTCCCGCTCTATCGAAATTACTGACCTCTACCAGAATTTAGACTACTAAAAATTTTTACACATTCATGGATTGTACAAATGTCGACCAAGGAATAATAATAAAATTGTTTGGCTATTCTGTGGTATAAGAGAGGGATAGGAGGTTATCATTGCTTGAAAAGGTAAATTTCTTTTATTCAGGCAGCTTCTGACTGCGCGGTTAATTATATAAACAAATTTTGTTATAACTAACTTGTAACTATAAATTTAGCCTGCTTTAAAACAATAATTTTCCCACCTGTGGCAGCAATTCGTAGAACACGGCAGCCTTTAGCCAGATCACATAAATGTGGTCAAAACGAAATCATCAAAAAACTGGAACTGAATTGATCTGAAGCTTTTGATCACTTAATTAACTTCTTGTAAAACGAAAGCAACTATGGCGTAATTTGCACATCGCATGAGCATGAGCGATGAGTCAGATGTCAAGAGTTAACAATTATCTGAAATTTGTGGATAGTGATGATAAGAAAATAATATATTGTAGAAGTTTATTTTTGTAAAACATATTACTCTTGTCCCATATAAACTATGAGGTATTTCACTTGTAACTATTTTTTTAGTATAACAAATTTATGTAGAGAAATGTCTTAACACTTCAACTAATGTTACTAAAATGAAGTAAATAAACAAATCATGGAGTCTCCCCCTTCAAGTTCGACTTGGTCAGAAGCTTTTATTTTAAGTGATGATAGTGGTCTTCTGTTAACAAATGGATCTGCTTCCAGTGGAAGTATGAGTTATGAAAGTCGAAATGAACGAAAGAACTTTCATTTTGAGGTACGAAAATTCCTCTAAATTGTTTTTAAATTCAAAAAGTAAATTCAAAGATAAATAATTTCAATTATTTACAAAGGATTCTGAAATAGAAAACAAGGCATCTCCTTCCCAACTGTTTAAATAACACTATGTAATTGTGTATTTGTCATAGATAATTTGGTATGCTCTTTTTGATGCTTAAATTGAAACTACTTTGTCAGATGTTAATTAATTAATGTTATAATGTAACCGATTATATAAGTGCCATCTGTTCGAAAAAAAAACGAATAGCTAGATTAAAAAAATGCATGAAGGTATTGTAAACAAAATGTTTGGAGATTCAAATAAAATAAAAAATGTTCACAGTAAATGACACCAAATACAAATATTTTAATAAGTACCTTTATCAATTGTCAGAATATCTTAAACCTTACATTAATCTCTGAACTAAACTATAATCTTTGCTTGTCATAGAAATAAAATTGTTAATCCTCTTGATGTTATGCATTTCATAAAAAATAATATTGTGTACATGTTTTAAAACTGTACGAGTCATAATTAAAACTTTTTGTAATAAAGAGACTTAAGGTTTGTGGGTAAGTAAATATAATGTCACTAATGTTTCATGCACCTATTATAAAACGAGGGATAATATAATAAATTTTTTATTGACATGTTTCATATCCAAAGTCAAAAATAAAATTCAAAGTTTGATACAAAGTCTGTGAATATTAGACAGGAAAAGAGGGGACTTGCAATATCTATGCCATGATTAGTTGTGATGTGAGTGAAACAGATTGGCATGTTTTATGTATTATGTAAAATTTTTGTTTAAATACACTTAACAGCTTAGCATAACGCTAAAAAAGAGAGAAATATTGCAAATTAGGAAAAAACAAGGAACAACATACTTGTGTTTTGCCATTGCTTTTTATTGACTGTTTCTTTTTACTTGTATTGGAGATTATTGTCATTATATGTAACATACCTAACTATAAAGGAATCTTATTATTTGTAAGTTGCAGGACAGTGATTGTGAAGAAAAATCACTATCACAGGATGATTCGCTTGATGGAATGTCAGATATAATGTGTGGAGAGAATTTTAATACCCTGAAAAAAGGACCGCATTGGATCGATTTTTCTTCTAAACGTTCTTCATCTCCAATAGAACCTCCTCCAGAATTCCAGGACAAACCAACATATCCCGTGGTAGACGTGTTTTGTAAAAAACTCACTTCTCAGATTTTAAGAAGGGCCCTGTTCGAATATACGGAAAGTGAATTAAAAAGGATAACGATTTTAAGTCAACATCAACGACCTTTGCATCACCTGTTGGGAAGGACTTACTTTACGCCAGAATTTATCCCATTCAGTCCTTGTCACATAGGAAGGCCCAGTTCTAGAAGTTCCTTGGGATCATCTCGCCTCTCCAGTTCACACAACTCCCTATCCGTCCCTACAACTCAAAGAGTAGACGATTCTACGTTCATAACGCAAGCTGTTTCCCACGACACTCTGTCTTTGAACCAGATAAGTGATTTGTATAATGTGCCGTTTGATAGTGATATGTACGCTGTTCCCATTGACGTTGTGAAACCTCCTATGAAACCGAAACGTTCTCAGCAACATAAGAAGAGGCGGCGGAACACTGCTTGCAGCTGTAAGGAGTTAGAGGTCAGACAGTGCAGGTCCATTTCGAATAAGAAGAATATATTCAAGCCGGAAAAGGTAGGTGATCGTTAAACTTTATTTTTGATCAACGATTTTATATTTACAAGCGCCTAATGCTCGGGGTAAATAATGGTACTTTCCTTTCTTTGGCTTTGATATCAGAAAAAATGAAATTAAGAATCGAGTCTTTTTTTTTAAACTGAAAAATTTATGTTTTATCTTATTTCCATGGTTTCTTAATGGCACAATTTTTTTCTATGTATCTTTGACCTTTTTATTATTTATTTAAAAAATAATTCTCCTTTTTTCAATATTTTTCATAGAAATATTTTGTATATTTGTATAAGAATAAAAAAAATGTATACAAAAGTTTTAAGGCTTTTTAAATATTATTCAAATAAAAAACATATAAGGGCAAATGATTTATAAAGTAATTATTAAAATTGTTGGCTAGAATTTTTGTTGTACTCATTCTAGTATCAAAAAAACAGTAATCATAAGATGGTGACCAAAATAATCTAATTTAATTTAAACATTTAACTAGAATTTTTTATTTAAATGTGAAGTGTGGTGGCAAGCAAAAGTGCTACTATTTTCCAACGGTTTGACCTTTTTTTTCGTAATGCCTTGTATAACTTTTCAGTTACATGACACTAAAAGGCACAGCGTCGCCGGTACCTCGGCTCCTACACAGGGCGAACCGATACATATGACTCTGCAGGAAGTTAGGCAGTATTTGCAAACTTTATATTCAAGTTCCTCGGACTCTTCCGAACCTCACGAAAAATTTTATAAACCCAAAACTACTATAATAGTAACGAATAACAATAACAAATATCCGCTTAACGCGAATAGCGTAGTTGTAAATAGAGAGATGAGCTGTGTCTCGAACGGTAACAGTAGAACTAAGAAGAACACATTCCTTATTAATATTAAAAATAAGAAAGTGAAAGATTCCTGTGATATTAACATTGGGAAACAGATAAATTCCTCGCCGACAAGGAAAGAGGAAAAGAGGAAGAAGACGCCGGCGAAGCTGTTCTCGTTTAAACAGACCTTGTGCAATATGTTTCGCTTCAGGCGGTTCCTCTCGCACGAACATATTAAAAATAGCGAGGACGAAGCGCACGATAAAAATTGTAATGCCAATAGCGGTCTGTTAGATGATATACACAATAATATAAGTAGTAGGGCATTGCCCCCACTACCTCTGAAAGAGGAAGCGGAGGAAGGAATTGACGAAGAACAAACTTTAGATTTCGCCACTAATATCCAACGAGTTAAAGATGTGAGTGGTCATTTTATATTTTAAACTTCACTTTTACGAAATTGCGTTGTTTTAGTATGGCTGGTACTGGGGTCCAATATCAAGTGAAGCGGCGGAGAAGGTTTTGTCCAACGAACCGGACGGATCTTTTATAGTTCGTGATAGTAGCGATGATCACTACATATTTTCCTTAACGTTTAAGCTTAATAACTGTGTTAGACATGTAAGGATAGAACATGATCAGGGTGAGTTATTTTAGTGCGAGTTTAGCATTTTTTAGGCCAATCTGAATGTTTATTATTGCAGGTAATTTTAGCTTTGGAAGTTGCGCCAAATTTAAGTCCCAAACCATAGTAGAATTTATTGAAAATGCCGTAGAGCACTCCCGTAGTGGTAGATATTTATTCTTTCTTCATCGAAGGCCAGTCATTGGACCAGTTCGTGTGCAGTTACTCCATCCTGTGTCCCGATTTAAACAGGTTCAAAGTCTGCAACACATGTGCAGGTAGGTGTGAAATCTTAACAGATGCTGTCGATGTCGAATTTTTCTGTATTGATTTTTACTTATTGATATGAAGATACTGAATATACAGAAAAAAAATTTTTGATCAGGTACGGTACAAGATCTAAGGAACTAAGCTTTATTCCTTGATCTTGTTCGTTATTGCTGACGAGTTAAATTATGTTAGTTCTACCGTATTTATTTCATGTGCGAAAATTGTTAATACGGAACAAATTCATTATTATTAATAAGCGAAATAAACTAGAAATTAAATATTGGATATTTGTGGCAGATTCATAATACACAAGAACGTGAGGAGGGACTTAATTCCGAGCCTTCCGCTACCGCGCCGGATGATAGATTACATTAATACCCCCCACTACTATTCCGAACATTTGGTCGACCTGGAAGAAAGCGGCGAAGAGTCGATCCTTAACCATAGCAGGCCCGCCACTCCGGTAACTCCGAGGCCGTTAGATAATGAAGGGGACGACGTCCAGCTGGTTTCTAATCCCGATGTACCTGTTAACAATTACATTGTAATAAACAGTAGGAATTCGTCCGGCTCAAGACAATCCTGAGTTGTTCGTTTGGCCGCTGGATGATATTTTTTTTGGACATTTATTGTGTTGTGTATATTATAGTAACTTATTTGTATTTATTTTTTTTTTCTTGAAATGTGTTTGACGTTATAGATGTAAGGAATTTACGATCAGTCTTTAAAGCTTCGCCAATAATTTAGTTTCCTCTGTTCTTCTAGTCATTTCTTTGACTGATTTAAATTGCTGGAGTGGATTAGTTGCGGCTGGCGAAAGATAAGGTGGTCATACTTTAAAAACGAGGCGGGGGAACCTTACTGTTTTTTTAAGGCATAATGATGAAAGCAAGTCTCACGACAAAAAAATTTTGAATGAAAATTAAATATCATTTTTTAACAACAAAAACTACGAGGCATATTCACAAAGTAAGAGTACTTAATTTTTTTAAAATGGAAACGGCAGTATATGTATGAAAAATTTACATATTCAAACACTATTTTTCAACGTAATCGCTTTCAGTCTCACTGCACTTCACGAGCTGAAGGATAGCTTTGTGTTCTTTGTCCTTCTGCCTCTCGGGCCCATTGTTTCAAGGCATTGTGGCCCTCATTGTCGATAGAAAATCATTCTCCACCCATGAACAACTCCGGAGAAGAGAAAAGATGAAAATCAGAAGGTCACAGCTGTGAACGGGGTGGTTCCAACCGAAAGAATCTAACAAGCACACTCTCTTCGTTAATATTCCCCTTTTTACGCCCTGTATCGCCTTCCGTAGTGTTTTCAGGGTTTGACAGTACCGCACAGCATTGTTTCCCCCTGAGGCAAAAAATCGTTAAAGAGAATCGCTTTACAGTCCTAAAATGCTGTTGCTATGACTTTTCAGGCCAAAACAATGATTTTGAATTGTTTCGCTGATGGTGAAGCAGATGTTGCTGCTGCATTGATTGACTTTTCGTCTCAGAGGTGTAGTGGGCCATTCATTTTTTGTCGCCAGTCACCATACAGTCGGGGAATTGTTCACTTTCGTTCAAAGAGCCCGTGAAGATACGATTCTGTTGGGCTTTGTGTTGATCCGCGAGCTGTTTTGGTACCCATCGCACACAATTTTGTGATAACCAAGCGTTTCAGTAATGATTTCGTGCAGAGAAAAGTTCTGGAGATTTGTGGAAACACTGCACTCATCTCGTCTAAAGTCAATTTTGTTAAAAATCTGGAACGGTGCCTTTCCCTTTGCAAGATGAAATCGGATTATCTTTCTCATCTCGTGGCTGGCGGGATTGGGAATAGCATCACTCAACACGCCCCTACAACAACAGTTCTCAACTTACGGACCTTGGCCTTGAATGCGGTGTTGACAACTTTATCGAAAACAAAAAATTTTATCATGAAAGTTCTCTATGTGGGGTTGGAAATCATCGTATAAAAATGGTGCGGATGCCACGATTTGTTTACAAAATATACCACTTTAATTTTCACCAGTCGCCAATGCAGTAAAATGTCTACTCTTTAACAATTCTATATTTTTATTCTAATCTGTGAAAGCCTCAACAAACTACACCTCTGAAATGGTATATCTTAGTAATCGATTTGGAAAATAAATTTAAAACATGACTATGTGTTTGGCGTCAAAACGCAAAAATGTTAAATTTGCCTGTAACGTAGAAAGTAAATAAATGTTACATTTATGTTATATTCTATATATCGCCCATTCTGTTACGTATAGACCCACCAAACCCTATATCTGAAGAAATCATTGTAACAATGTTTAAAAATTAACAAAAACATAGTGAGGATCTGTATCGCTGTAATTTTTTTCGACACTCGATATTTTTTCGATATCCTTAAAGACAACAATGTTACGGTTTAATCTAACATTCTTGCGGTGGCACTGTATAATATTTCATGTCTGTGGTGTATCTTTTTGAGTTCTCTAATCAGATAAGGTGAATATGGATGCATTTCAAGAAAACGTTTTGTGAATTCTTTTCCAGTGATGTACTAACAATTTATGTGCTACGAAACTCATCCCGTTGCAGTTAATTCTTAGCTTTGTCACACGAATTTTAGATGCTTTACATTCGAATAAGGATGAATGAGTTTAACGGCTCCAAATTTTCCTTAATGCTACTTTTCAGTTGGCTTATTCCTCCATGCCAGTTACATTTACATGTTTTATTTGAATCAAATATATTTTTAAATAGTTATTTAGTAACACTTAGTGTTGTCAGATCCCCAGTTTTCAGCCGGAGTCTCTAGTTTTTAGAGAAAATGTCCGTTCTCCGGCCGAGAGTGCAAGTAAGGAACTTTTATAAAACATAGATTGGAGGGTGTTTTTTTTTTTAAATAAACTGTTGTACTTGTGACTCGTATAATTTTTTTGCTGTAGTAACGATCTGGCAACCCTAATAACAGACCCGGCATTAGGAGAGGGCTACGGAGGCTATAGCCCTGGGCTTCAAGAGATCAGGGGGCCTCGGCAAGATCTGTCGAAATTAAACCAGTGTTTAGATTTTGCTTTTTTTTTAGAATCAAACCAAAAAGTGTTATCGGCAAGTCGCTGATTGTGTGACCTTTTTTTTAGGAACAGACCAAAACGTGTTTAGGCTTTTAAATTTTAAGTTTTTTTTTGTTTTATTTCAGAAAAAGGGCCTCTATAGCCCCTTGCCTCACGATAGGCCCTGCCTAATAATGCTGCATTTATCCAGTCATGTTATATTATTGTGGGTTTTGTAGTAACAATTATCATTGATCTGGAACGATTTTTTTTGTGCAATTACCTTTCAGACCAAAGTTGTAATGTGATTTTAGTGAGTTTATGCTTTTTAATGTAGCGGTAGGTTTTTAAGGTAGTCCTAAGGTTTTGTATAATGTAAAAAAACGCACAATAGTTTGTAGTAGTAAAAAAAAATGGAAATATTTCATAGGTTGTGAACAGCGTATATTAGAGGATGAATTATGGGTTTATTTGCAGTAAATAGTTAGACCCTAATATAATTTATTATTTTTCTGGTTTAGCCTTTCTTGCATGTACTTGTTTCCATTGATTAATTCATTATGTTCCTGTCGATTATATTGGAAATAAATTACAATGGTTAAAGGCTGTTTTTCCTTTTTAGCATGTACCAAACAAGATAAAAATAACTTCTAATAAATAAATATATTTAACAAATAACAGTTTCTGATAACACATATACTTAAAAATATGTAATGCAATTGCCCTTGCAAATTTATAAACAAATTATAAAACGATCCCAAATTTATACCGTGGAAATCAGTACATATCAAAATAAAAAAAATGTATGAAATTACGTAGGAATGCCTAAAGTTCTCCTTACTATTCGCTCTGCAATTTTATTAAATTCATCTCTATTTTCTCTCCACATCTTTGCTGCGTCGACATTAGCACCACTTTCATCGTTTGGTTCTGGAAAAATTACATTGTTAAAAGAATGGGAAATTAAAAGTCACTGAAATATTATCTCTCGATATTATTTACCGGCGAGCATGCTGACAACGGACAATAATATTTTCTCAACGCTCTGCACAGGAGACCATCTCTCAGCACTAGATTCATAACCCATCGGATCGTCTCCAGGAGCGTGAAGAATTGATATACATACTCTACCATCTGAATAAACTAAAATTTACGACATAGTTGTTGCTAGAACAGCATTCGGTATGGTAACATAAAATACTCACTATTTGGGTGGAACATCTCGCAGGTAAATTGCATTTTTGGGGGGCTAAGCGGATAATCCGGAGGGAAAATTAGTTTAGCAGGAAAAACGCCACCTTCGAAACATGTACCCTCTGGTCCCCTAAAAATTTATTATAATTAGGTGTTACACACGTTTGCCTTAAATGGCCTATTTACGTTATTAGTGCTTCCCATTCAAAAAAATTTTCTTCGTTTATAGGACCTGCTATAATACCTTCTGGGGGATTCAAAGTTAATTCTAAAAGAGAAACGAAATTAACGACTAGATGAACGAAAATCTGCAACTTACGTTTGTATTCTGCCATAAGTCTCCTAAGTGCTGATCCGGCCATAATAACGTCAAATCGGTTTATCCAAATTTCTCTTTTGTAAATAATCGTACATATAAAATACTAAACGGGAAAATGTAAGAAACAGTTCTTTCCACAAAACATAATCTTTCTCTCTCTGATGTCTGATGTCAACAACTTGTCATAAAATAATTTCGGTTCAGTTATCATCAGCTGTGTTTTGTTCCTAGGTTCAAAATGATCTGAACTGAAAGTTACATTCAGGTTCATTAAAAAACCACTAAAGTTTAGATTTGACTTATTATTTATGAAGACATGTGTCTTCTAAATACATTTTATTAAGTGAGTTATGCAATACTTACACTCGGCTGGTGCACGAGTCACTAAGGCTACTAATAAGAAAGGAAGGGTGTTATAACAAATTAGACTCAATTGAGCCGACTCCCTACGAGGATCCGGGCCAGTAAAATGAGCCGGATGTCTCATCTCTATTGACGGCACTTGACTAGGGTTGACGTTCAATCACTGGTACTGAAAATTCTACAAAACATGCACTAGATCTCTGCCAAATCGTGGGAAAGATATTTATATAATGAAATGCTGGGGAAAACTTGATATTAAAACACTGCAAGAATGCATTTCAATTGGTGAATTTTATTCTAAGGTAGGTATTTAAGTAACTATCACAATATAAAATAAAAAAAAAAGAATTATTGAAATACGAAATTATTGTAAAAAGATATAAACTGCACAATTAAAAAATTGTAATTTATTAGGTATTTATCATTATGTCATTGTTCCAAACACAGGGTTGTGCCTACAAATACTGGGTCCATATTCTTCATAATCCTCTTTTGTATGGCAGACAGTGTAAAATTCAGGCTGAAATGTTTTAATTTATTAATGCACTAGATCTTCAAAAATGTGTTCAATTTTATTTACGTTTTTACTATTTTATGAAACGTCATAATTATTACAAATAGTATTACCGTTGAAGCTAGCATGCTTCCACCGAACCATACAGCATATCGTTGCATGTGATGTGAGACCACTTGAACGTCTATCGGTTTAGGCTGAAAAATTGAAGAAATTAATACAGCCGACAAAAATTTATAAGAAAACAATTCTTACTATTAACCGTCCCCCTCCGAGTGTTTCGCTAAGTTTCAGTCTCGCATCTACGGTCCTCTTGATGTCTCTCTGCAACCTTCTGCTGAAATCCTTAAACATAGTCGATCCTCCGGACAAAACTATATTATCATACAGAGGCCTCCTAACGTCAATAGGACAGTTCTGTATCACATCATCCACGATTTGCGATAAAGGAATTGTAAAGTCGGGGTTAGAAAACTCCGGGTGGAAAAATATTTCGGGTCCCAGGAATCTCTCGTAGCCGACGTCGACCATGAACGGATGTTTCGTGACAGAATTAATTCCTTCATATTTTTTCATCCATTTCCCAGGATCAGAGTCGTATTTTGCAAATTCCTTTGCTATGTCCGGGCAGATGTAACAGTATTTTTCCTTTATTGCTTTAGCCGTTTCTAATGACTGTTCAGGAGGAATGCCTATTTCTCTCTCCCTCAAAAGGGACTGGATAAAATAAGTTATGTTGCGACCGGCAATTGGAATGTGCTTTATACAGCTTCCAATAACATAGCCTTCTGCCTAAAATTATTGAGTGCACAAATAAACACTTACATTAAATAAAATTTATCCTTTTCAGTAATTTGATTTCAAGAAATAGGTTACTTACTACTGGAATTACGTGCGTTACTCCGTCACCGCTATCTATGACTATCCCTGTTAGTGTCCTTTCTTCTATATTTCGACTTGCCCAACTGGCAGCAAGAGCCAACACGGCTTGAACAGCTATGTACAACCCAGGTACGTTAAATGATTCAAACATAATTTCTGCTATATACTCTCGATTCTCAGGGGTATTTAATGGAGGTTCTGTAAGAAGAAAATAGTGATCTTCTGGCTCAGCTCGAAGATATTTAAATATGCACTGTTCTAAGAACTTCTCCATTAAATCCCAATCTTCGACAAGTCCATGCCTCACAGGATACTAAATAAAGAAAACACTGTCAATATTTTAACTGTACATATAAAAAAATGTAATGTTAAAATTTACTGATAATATTCACATAGTACAATTTTTGTGTTACCTTCACAGCATAACCAGTTGCCTCGAATGCCTCGTCTCCAATAAAAAAATCCAAGTCCTCAACACCTTTATTTAATCTGCGAGATGTTGTATCCCCTACTTTAGCTGTTTCCTTTATTGCAATAGCAGAAGGTATTATAAATTGAGGTTCTTTATTTGCAGCAAAACCCAATTTTGTATAGCTATAAAGATAATAATATATTAGTCAACATAACCAGGAAGTTTGGTTAGAGCCATTACTCACCCTGTTCCAACATCTATAACACAAGCTGGCAATTTTCCATCCATTCTGCTACTATTTACAAAAATCAGTTTTTACAATACAGTAATTTTAAAGTGTATGATTAAATTACAATTTAAAAGACCGCACCTAAAGTAACTGATAACTGATAAAAATTGACAAATTTACTTATGTCAATTTTCATTTCCAACCACACCTCCCAGCCACAAAACACATCATTTAACATAGAATCAGGGGATTTCATTCCCATCAATTCTATACACTTCTGTCTACACTTTATACTCCATAGTGTTTACAGTGTACACTAATATACATCACAAAACACAAATCGGTGTTCAATGTCTAACTGAAGCTCACTTCACAACTCTCAGATTATTGTTTATTTTTATTTATGGTTCTGTGTGGTCATGACAAAGATTTACAATCTTCTTGAAAATCATTAATCTGTAATTTTCTTCACAACCAGTATTAGTCCAGAAATGATAATCAAAAAGAGATAAATAAACTTTATTATTTGTTGTTATCGCAAAAACAGGAGTATTTATTATCATGCAACAAAATAAAAAAATGCTTAAGTAAAGTTTTGTTACATTTTTAATATAATTAAAATAAGAAATAATGGATGAAGATTTTGATGAAAGGCCGTGGGATGGTGGCGATAGACTGGATAACGAGGTACATCTAATAGTACTTTTGATTTTTATATTTTTAAGAAATATAAGTTTCAGTCTGAAGGTGGAGAGGACGCTGAAAATCCAGAGCAGGTACTGGCAGAATGTGCCGAGAAATTTTCCACATCAGATTATATTATGGAACCTGGCATATTTTCACAACTTAAGCGTTATTTTCAATCTGGAGGAAATCCTCTACAAGTCATTGAAGAGTTGTCCCAAAACTATACAGCTGTGGCACAGATGGCAAATTTAATAGCTGAATGGCTTATAATTGGCGGTACGTTTTATTCATTTAGTTTAATTTTTATATAATTCCTTAGAAATTGTCGTTACAAATACCTACTGTATTATGTAAATAATCTAAACCAGTTTCGTGGATGTGATTTTTAGATTGTATTTAAATGAATTTTTTTTCCATTATATGACCTCTAAAATTTATCTAGGAGTTAAAGTCACAGATGTGCAAGCTATGGTTGAAAATCATTTGAAGGAAATGATTTTAAAAACATTTGATCCAAAAAAAGCCGATACTATTTTTACTGAGGAAGGAGAAACTCCGGCTTGGTTAACGCAACTTATCGAACATCCTACTTGGAGATCCTTAATTTATAGATTAGCTGAAGAGTACCCTGACTGTCTCATGTTAAATTTTACCATTAAGGTAGGTATTCGATTTTGTATCGAAATTGTTACTTCTAAGCTTACGTCTTTTAGCTTATATCCGATGCCGGCTTTCAAGGAGAAATCACTAGTATTTCAACAGCAGCTCAACAACTTGAAGTATTTTCTAGAGTGTTGAAAACGTCTATCTCCAGTTTCCTTACTAACCCCGAGGAGTGGCAGAATACCAGCAAAGAGTGTGCCGTAAGTAGAATAAATACCCAGTTTTTATTTCTCTTCAAGTGAGATTTGTAGAAAATGGTGTGTCACGGACAACATACATATGTTTATAGTCAGGTTATAATACACATTTTGGCAAGGGAATCTAAAGGAGGCAGTAGCATGAAAAGATTATCTCAGGAGATAACGAAATGTGCACAGAAAAAGTAAGTGTTTAAATTTCAGCAATAAATTAAACTATCAGAATTTTATGATTTATTGAATTTCTAAAAAATCAAAAATCTTCAGTACAAAATCTTTTATTTTTAGCGGGAATGATGTCACTCCCATAACGATGGCATTAAACGGTGCTTCTGCATATCCAACTGCTTGTCAAGCGTTAACTGCTATGTTGTCGAAGAATACGTTAAACCCTGCAGATATTACCGTTCTGTACAGAAATTTTAACGCACCAGATCCTCCACCTATCGATCTTATCAGAACTCCTCAATTCTTGGGTAAGAGTAATTATACTTGACTTTTCCTTAACCTCTTGTATCATTTCTGGAAAATCATATTTATCAGCAGCCTTAACTGTTAAAACACCCTGTCTATAGAATTTCGAGTATTCTATAAAAGATCAGTGTTTTGTTTCTGAAAATTTTTTTTGCTTAGTTCTTACACTGAGAGAAAGGGATGTTTCAATCTGAAAATTTTTTTTGTTTAGTTCTTACACCGAGAGAAAGGGATGTTTCAATCTGTTTATCTTTTTTTTTTAAGAATTACTCGTGGATTCCTTATTCAAGCCAGGTGTGAAGTTGAATCCGGATTATAAACCGAAATATATACACCTGCTAGCTTACGCGGCAAGTGTTTCGGAAATTCAACCGAAAAAGGGACAAAAGAGGGTTTCTAATAAAGACGAACTGCAGCCTACTGTTCGCGCTATTGAAACGGTCCATAATATTTGTAACGGAAACAAAGGATCCTCGGAGTTGATCGCGGAATTGTCCACGATTTATCAATCTTTAAAGTAAGTAAACTTTTTGATATATTCAGATACTTGTTAACAATTTCAGTAATTTTTTCTATTAACGCCACTTCTACACTGTGAAACTATAGAAATTTCATGCTCTTGTCGGAGATCTCGATATAATTTTCATAAATAATAATTTTTTTAGATTCCCCGTTGTATCTGTGGGCATTATCAGGTGGGTGGAATGTACCGTCACGGAACCGAGTTATTTCAAGTTGTGCACGGAGCATACACCCATACACTTGGCTTTACTCGATGAAGTCGTTACGTTACATCCACTGTTGCATAATCAAGTACTAGATCTTCTAATTAGGTTGTTCGAGTCGAAACAAGACGAGCTGGAGATTTTAGTGCAGGTAAAAATACGGCACGAATTTTACTTGAAGCAGTATTACAAGGATGTATTTTGCAGCTGGAAATGAGGAAAATGGTGCTGGACAGGATGGTTAACTTGTTGTGTTCCGGATGTGTGGTGCCGGTAGTTAAGTATATTAAGCAGTGTTGGCAACGGGGCGATACGGATATTTCGCTAATTAGATATTTCGTCACAGAGGTGAGTACTAGACGCTGATTTGGATTTTTAGATTGCGAATTGTCATTATTGTGAATTTTTTAGGTGTTGGAAACTATAGGACCTCCGTATAGTTCGGAATTTGTACATTTGTTTATGCCGATGGTAGAGAATGATGAAATCACCGGCACCATGAGAGGAGACGGGGAAAATGATCCTGTATCGGAATTTATCGGTAAGTACCAAAACGTCAAGTCTATAATAGGTTATTTTACGTCACAAATTACATAAAAAGTTCCTATACACGTGTTCGGAAATGTTTCACTTTCAACAGAAAAAATTAAAAATCATTTTCATCTGTTTTGTTATACACTAAGGCGTAATTTCAGTGTTAGACGTAATTTTGCGCTGAATTTTTTTTTGTCCAAGCTATTTCAAGTTTGACTATTTTAAACGCTTTATAATGTGTTCTTAATCGTGTACTACTAGAACGCATCATTATCGAGGTAGTTATTGCTATAATCTTCAAAACATTAAATTTGCTTTCCTCAGTTATTTTTTGCTTAGTTGGAATTAATTGTATATTTTCTTCAACTCTGGACACTCTGTACCTCGAAAACATTCCAGACGTGCGTATAGGAATTGTTTACGTGACAATTGCTATTTATCTTGAAAAATTAAATTTATTTTTTCCATAAAGTACAGTAGAACCTTCGATATGTGAATTATTTGTGTGGTGGCTAAGAATTCTCAGGTGTTTTTATAACTTTATTTTACGTGTATTACATGTAGAGATGTAATTTATTTTTGTTTTTTTGCCCATTAATTTTAATTTAAATAATTTTATATAGAAACCGTCACTGGCTAAAAGAAAGAACCTAGAAAATCGATTTTATTGAAACATTTATTCACGTTTCACGTTTTTGTAATGAAAACTAAAGTAGAACTAGTTATTACTCATACAGGGTGATTCACTTATCCAAAAAAAATTTGGGAATAGATGCGGCATGAGAAAGGAGCCTCTATCGTAAAAAAAATTGTAAAATCCTTACAGCTTCCGAGAAAAAAATTATTGAAGTTGTAGTACTTTCAACTATTACGTAGCTGGACAACTGTAGTCTCTAGCATCATTCGCAATACGTGAGAGCCACGTGGCCTCAGCGACTCCGAATACTGAAATCGGATTTTATGCTCGTCAATGCTATAGCATTTACAATAGTTTTTTAGTAGTTGGTGTCGAAACTCGAAGTTCATGGATATCGTTTTAATTTATGGTGAAGCAAGACAACATTTGTGTTAGAAGTATTTAAAATAAATTAGTACTTATTCCAGAACGGTCTCGTTCTGTGAGGCACGGATAATCCAGGTTCTACTGTATTTTTAATTTTATTGTATTAATATATTAGTTGATCAATCGGTTTTGTTTTAGTTCACTGTAAGGCTAACTACACAACAGTGATATGAAGGAAACGCTAACAGTTAAGGTTATACATTTATTGTAATATATATGAAATATGAAAAAATAAGTAACAATTACTAAGGGTTTTTAATTTTCCCTAAAAAAAAACCTAATTGAATTATGAAATTATTATTTAAGAGCACAGAGAAATGATTAAATCAATTACTTCTTTTTTCCCTGAATGATAAAACACAATTTTCACAAATGCCGCTGTTTTTTTTTTAATTATTTCACTTTAAAAAAGATTTGTTTTTGGTAGAATTAAAATACGTATTTCCAAAAATGTTAGCTCCAAAATAGTAAAAAATATTTCACACTTTCTAAAATTACCGACATTCGATAGTTCTTTTAACAGTATAAACTTTTAAAACTGTACTGTACTAGATGTACCTTATAAACTGCAAAGTATTGATTTATTCGTTTTCTACTTGCTTCTTTTTCTTCTTCTTTTTCTTTTCCGAAGTTGGCTCCTCCGGTTCTTCCTTAACTTCTTCAAACTCAGTTTGTTGTTCCAAATTTTGTTTGCTCTTCTTCTTCTTTTTCTTCGTAACAGTTGGAGTTTCAGATTCGTCCTCAATTACTTCCTCTTTAATTTCCGATTCGTCTAACTGCTCTTGTTTTACTTTCTTCTTTTTCTTTTTAGGGGTTTCTTCTGTTTCTGAAACGAAAAAGGAATAATAATCAGGGGACAGCACACAAGTTACAATCGTTTACCTGCAATATTGACTTCTACGGATTCCTCTAATTCGTTCTTCACCTTCTTCTTCTTTTGCTTCGGCGTCTCACCAACTTGATCCCCACTTTCTTCCTTGACCATTCCGGATTCTGTCCTCTTTCTTTTACTTACTGACGGTAGGGTAGAATCCGCAGCATCCGCATACTGTTTAATTTCACTTTTTCCCTGGTACTTTTCGAACTTAGCCTTGGCCTTGCCTGTACCGCTTATCCTTTTTATGTTGCCTTCTTCTAGTACTCGAAGGCGCGCTTCTAACTTGGCTCTGTGTTCAGCGCCTAAAGTGAAGTTCCCGTCTTCACCTAAAGCGTCGACGCGTGTCGCTAAAGAGGCCTTGGCCGCGAGCATCCTAGACATCTTTCCTTTGTTTTTAGTGCTGCTTTGGCCTACTAACTGAGAGTGGTAAATAAGACCATATTTGGGTGTATCTTTTTTAGTTTTCAAAGCCCTAAATAGGGCCTTTTCGGCCCCGAGAATTTGAACTGTGGAAGCGGGGTGTTTTGCTAGATTTATCAACGAACCGGCATGGGAAATCAGTCTGGCTCCTACCAAGTCCCCAACTAGTACCGTTAAATTGGGAGCCATCGCCATCATTCTTGCCTTAAGATAATCGTAGAGTTGACTACGGTAATTCGTAATTTCTATAACTTGGTCGCACAAATTCTGAATGTTCATAATGTCTTCTTCGGAGATTTCCGTACCCATTGAGATTTCAGCAGCTTCTTTAACTTTTTCTTCTATTTCTTCAGGTAATATGTCTGATAAGTCTGACACAGCTGCGTTTTCTCGTGTACCAATGATTTTAACAGTTTTTGCGAATGCTACGTTGTCTGTTATTATCTTTCCCAATTCAGGAAAATGCCAGCCGTACCACTCCCTACATCTCATGATGTAGTTGTTTAATTCTTTATCCAGATCGTCTAGTAAGGAAACGGCTTGCACTATCATCGTGTCCACCTTGTCAGGGGAAAATTTTAACTTATATCTCGATAAAGAATGTGCCAAACCTAATGCCATCGCAGTCATTTCTTTTTTTGGCAGTCCCGATAATAGACTGTCCAGTTGTGAACGGATGCATCTCATCAATTCCTGAACAGCCGTATTTGACACACATGGCAAATTAAATTTTTCCTTAATGGCAGACCCCAATTTGGCATCGGCTACCAGAAGCTGCTCTTGTAAATCCTTGTCCACGTACTTCTTTAATACTTTCTTTAAACTTTTGGATATTTTACCCTCTACAACAGCTGTTGTAGCAGCTAGAGCCTCAGTAGTATCGGTAAACTTTTCAAAGTGTTTCAATTTTACTCTGAAAAGTAAATTTTATACATCATATAAACATTTTCAATTAAATGGGAATCATGTATTCTAACAATTATAGAAGTTATGTCCGCGTAATAAACACAAACAGTACTAATAACTATAACAATATAGCAACGAATTATAAATAAAAACGTATTATTAAAAAAGAAAAGTGTTAAAAAAACTTACATTTTTCCTGCAGACTCAGGAGTTTCAAATGAATGGTACAAATTGTCAGTTTCCCTCAGTTTCTTATCGTCCAAGAGCTGAAAGCATGGAAAAAATAAGGTTAAGTTATGGCATTCATCATGTAAATTCCCAAATTTTATTACCTTAAATATAGCATACCCCGCTGGGGTTTCAAACAGAACCAACATATTTAATGAGTTATGTAGAGGTACGAAATTCTAATAAAATTTATCCCATACAAAGCCGGCACAATATAAAAACAGCAAAGTAAAAATTATTAACAACTTAACAAGCCATTTCTGACGTATGGTTATGGAAACTACCACGGAACAACAACAACACAGAACCAGACACAAAAGGGGTTTACGAAAATTAACTCGGAGTGATGTAGATACATCGCTCTCTCTGTCTAAAACCATAAGAATGACAAAGATGAAGAAAGTGATCTGAGCACTCGAAGTGAATTATCGAAAACGCCTAAAATGGACCAGACCAGAAGTGCACCGAATTTCTATGTCTCTGACACAAACGCATTCAGTAGACTGCGTTCCGGTGTTCATTAGCTACGACTGGCAAACTATCGCCCTTTCTCTCTGTAGCGCCTACACTTTTTAACACTCGGTGCTTCCTCTATATAATATATCCTCTAAGGGTTTGTGGTTTATGAGGTTATGTACCTTATGTTATGATGAGCGATTGAGGTTATTTTTTGTTTGACCTATTAATTTTATAATAATTGTTAATATTTAATTTATATATTCATAATTTTAAATGTATGTGCAGCTATATTAACACAGTGCAGAACATTATCGGCTTTTGTAAAACAAAATTAATATACTTTTAAAATTAATTTTGGTTATGCATAATACACCAGTACTTATCGAATTTGGGTAAGTAAGTATTGACCATGTTTTCATATATATTATATATTTGTGTCGTTTTAGAGGTGGTGCTGAACTCTTATTCGATAATAAAAAGGCTCACAATGTGACACTTCCTGCGAAAGAAAAAGAATGTACGTTTAAATTTAAAATCCTATTGGTAAGATTAGTTTACGGGTATATAATATGTACTTTAAATTTATTTGCAGGGATTTTGGGCGACCTACTTACATGGATGAAAAATAACATGTTAAAACAAAGGCCAGAATTGTTTTTACAGGACAATTCTGTGTAAGTATTCTTAAGAAGCTACATACATTTACGATATGACCTATCTACGAATAAATTATAATTTTTATTTGTTTCTGTGTATATTTTTAGGCGTCCAGGTATATTGGTTCTTGTAAATGATACCGATTGGGAATTAATGGTAACTACTTAATTAACATTTAATTATCACTAATTTTCTTTTTTTTTAGGATACCGTTAATTATGTCATACAGTCAAATGATAGAATTACTTTTATATCTACATTACATGGAGGATAAAAAATGTTAAATTTTACAAGTAAACTTTTTTTATATACATGTGCATTATTTATGTTAATTTTTCTGAGCAAAACAGGTGGCTAAGTGCTTATCTATTTTAGTAATGTAACACTATGATGCGAGTCAAAAGTTTTTGGAGGTATCAAAATAATAAATAAACCATTATGAATTTGCATTTTATAATTTTTTTTATTTCAAAGTACTTTTTTACCTGCTCTTTTTGAAAAATGTAATATAGAGAATAATAAATATAGTATAGTGTGTGATCTTTCTTTATAGGGTTTTTCATTTTATTTTTTCAAATAAATTAACAATTTCTATGGCAGTGATCGTTTCCAGAATTTTGTGTCGACTTGAATTTATAGATTTGTATTTTTTGCATACATTTCTTAGTTCTTACAAAATTAAAATTGTTTTCTTCTTTACCAACTTTTCCTATATGCTGCCATCTACTGCTGAATAGCATAAATCAGCACAGCTTGGGCATGTAAACAAAGATGATGCCACGAATAACAGAAAACAGAACACTATTTTTTTTTTGTATCGTAATTTGTTGGGATGGTTTATTTTTTATTTAGTATTTTGAAGATTTGGGGAACATTATATGTTTTGTGTGGGAACCTTTTGTTTATTTGATTGTTTGCATTTCGAAGATAAGTCTGATAAGTTGAGTTGAAAGGTTAAAGAGATTATCTGTATTTGGAAAACATTTATCGTTGTATCGTTGAACAGTTTCAAATACTTTAGTAAATAGTGTTCACTGTTTACTTCCTTAGTTGCAAACAAGGAAATAGAAATGAAATTTTTTATAATTGTATGTCTGTGTTTTATACAAGAGGTTTATAATTGGAGAATCTTTCATAATGGACGAATAGTTGGAGGAAATTTGGGTAAACCACGAGGAGAGCTTTTAAAGGCGGATTTGAACAATTATGAGAAATGGTTTGTACAAAGTTTGGACCATTTCAATCCTGGTGATGAGAGAACATGGCAACAGGTAAAAATTGCTAAAATAGCTATGATTATTTAATTCAGTGTAATTTGTAGCGGTATTATGTAAACGAAGAATTTTTTAACAAAGAAGCCAGAAATGTAGCCTTCTTAATGATCGGGGGTGAAGGAGAGGCCACCGATAAATGGATGACTCAAGGTGCTTGGATTGACTATGCCAAAAAGTATGAAGCTATTTGCTTTCAATTGGAGCATAGATATTATGGCAAAAGTCACCCCACTGAGTAAGTAAAATTATTATGAAATATGAGATGTAACGTTGTCAATATAAATAATTTTCAAACAATAGATGACTAGCTAATATGCTAAAGTTTTAAAAAATATTAATTTTAGTGATTTAAGTACCCCTAATTTACAATACCTCAGCAGTCAGCAGGCTTTAGCCGACTTAGCTACTTTTATCGAAGCTATGAATTCCCTCTATGAGTTATCACCAGATGTAAAATGGATCGCATTTGGAGGATCATATCCTGGATCACTAGCTGCTTGGTTAAGACAAAAATATCCTCATTTAGTTCACGGTTCAATGTCGGCCAGTGGACCTTTATTGGCAAAACTAGATTTTGATGGCAAGTAGTTTTTAATTCTACATTAGGCATATGAAAACGTCTAAAGCAGATTTTTGATTTTAGAATATTTCAAAATTGTAAACGACGATCTCCGTTCGCACAGTGATGAATGTCTGCAAGCCGTTAAGCAAGGTACGGCGCAAATCGAAATTTTATTGAGTCACATGGTGGGTCAGAGGAATCTTGATAAGATCTTCAGATTGTGCGACCCTATTGAAAACAGCATAGAAAACAAATTGGATATTTCCAATCTATTTGAAACATTGGCAGGCAATTTTGCCGGCATTGCCCAGTACAATAAGGACAATAGAATTGGAAAAAGTTCAAGAGGGGCGAATATAACCATCGATACGCTGTGCGATATAATGACGAATCAGACTATTGGAGCCCAAATCAAACGGCTTGCAGCTGTTAATGATTTGTTGTTAAATACTTACGAGCAGAAATGTTTGGATTACAAGTACGACACGATGATTACTGAAATGAAAAACGTTAGCTGGGATAGTGAAATAGCGGAGGGGGGTAAGTCGGACTATTTTTATTTTAAACACTTAATTCACACAAGTTAACAATAGTAAACATTTTTTTTTCCGTTAATTCCGGAGACAACTCGGGTGTTTCATCCATAATTTCTATATTTTACCCATTTAATAAAAGTTGTTATAGTTCATTTACGATAAGTTTGCGAAATTATACTGCGTTGTTGGGTTGAAAATTTTGACCTGATATATTTACTGGGATCTGTACATTGATTCGCAAGGTATTTCTTTTGCTTTAGGCAGGCAATGGACCTACCAAACGTGCACAGAATTCGGTTTCTACCAAACGTCCAACTATAAACCCCAAGTGTTCGGCGATAAGTTTCCTATTGACTTTTTCGTCCAGCAATGTATGGATATTTTTGGTCCGAAATATAACATGTCGTTTTTAAACAGAGCTGTAGAAAGGACGAACACCTTGTACGGTGCTTTGGACATTGAAGTATCGAACGTCGTATTCGTTCATGGCTCTGTTGACCCCTGGCATGCCTTGGGGATCGTTAAAACTATCGAGCAAGGAGCACCAGCGATCTATATTAAAGGTAATTTTTGGTTTTCTGTGGGCGCAATGTTAGCTTATTAGGTTGTTCAGTTTATAGACTTCTTTCTCAAATTTAAGCGGTAGTGTGTACAGTTAATTGTTATTTTTAGGAACTGCACATTGTGCGAATATGTATCCTAAATCGGATCAGGATTTACCTCAGCTTAAAGCCGCCAGAGTCCAAATAGAACAGTTAATAGGCACCTGGTTGGATATTTGAATTTTCAGTTGATATAAGCCTTTTTTACATGGTGCTCTCTGTTTTAGTGATATTAGTTTAGAAATGTTTTGTGTCTGTTTTATCTGTCGATTTAAAAAAAAGAATCTCGAATTTCAGGTAGAATGTGCATTTGGTAGTGTATTTGTTATGAAAAAACTGTTAATTTTTTAATAATTTGATATACATTTTTTCCGAAAATAAATATATTTCTAACATACACTGTTTTTCTTGAACAAACAGTAAACACGATAAACCAAAAGATTTTCTCTGTAGTGATGATATGATTTAGATTTTCATATGTTGTATTTAACTCAGGACACCGTACATCTTCTCAAAAATACTTTTTTTAACATGGACGAAGTTTGTGAAATAGTGATGATTAAATTTTAAAATGGAATTGCCCAAAATTTAAAAAATCTGATGAATGCACTTCATAGGGTCTTTCGATTTGGCAAGAATAGTAGCTATCAGCAGCTAATAGAGACTTAGAGTTACTCTGAACTGATATTAGTTGCTATTGGGTACCATTGTTGCCAAAACGAAAGCACCTCTAGTCAGAATTAACGCACTACTAATAGCATAGACATAGACAACTAACACCAAAGGTGATGATCCCAAAATTATGTTCGTAGTTGTTTTCTTGTTTCCGGATCATGCCAGATTATATGATCCAGGATCGGTAATCCACTTTCCCCTATGATTCAAACTTTTTCTGTGATTCGAACTTTTGATCAGGATCACATATTTAATATAACCTTAAAATTGTGGTGGTTTCTTTTTTCTCTAAGAAGGCAGTTACTATTTTTATTTTAATTGTGCACAGAAGAATGGGTATACCTAAACGACATTTAAAATCAAATCAAATGTCAACAGTAAACAAATTCCTGTTCCCTTCGAAATTGGGTTCAAGGATCTAGTTCGTGTTTGTCTGATCCAGGTTCAGTGATCATGATTCAAAACAGAGCGAAAGAAAACGTTCATTGACAATGGAATGAGGTATTTATGACGGGAATTCTCTTTGAAAATCTCTCAAACAAAATTAATAAATATAATAATTCAATTTTATAATTCTGAATCAAGTACGAAGTACGTTTTCTCAATATTTTATCTTGACGATCTATGCGATATGTGACAGATTTTTTTTAGTTATTCCGTTGTTTTAAGGCGTATTCTAAATTATTATAGGTTAGGTATAAGTTCCAGTACTACTCGCGATAGTGTTGCGTGCGGTGGCGTTATAAAATGAGTACTTAAGTGTTATTAATTATTGTGTTATGTGTTAAAGTGAACAAACTAAATATAAAATTCATCATAAGTGCAATGTGAAGAAAACACCAAATAAAACTCAAAAGTTTTTACTTTTCTATAAACTGAACTTTTTGATCAAGTCATTGTTTGTGGTAAGTGTTTTGTTAAAATATTTTAGAGTACGTAGTTAATATTTCATGTTTAAATACAATTACAAGGATTAAGAAATACCTATTACTAGGCCCAACGTTAGCAAAAGTACATATAGGTATATTCCACAGCATAGACCACTCTATATACTATCCACACATTTTCCAAGCATTTTCAAAAATGATGGAGTCTCTAAACGGGTTCAAACAAAAATTGATATTCTCTTAAAATTATTTTAAGGCAAGTTCGGTATTAACGTGTAGACGCTCCAGATGTTTTTTGTTCTTTCCTAAATGTATGAGATGAAAAGACAAAGAGATACATCTAGAGCATCTAGATGTCAATACCGAACTTGCCTTTTGGGATATTTAGGGTATACTTAGAATCGCCAGATTAAGTAAAAAGTAATTTTTTGTTGCTATTTGATTGATTCATTTATTTAGTTCAATAGAACTAGTGTAAAAACACGACGCATTAGTTCTGGGCATTTTTAGTTGTAATTATAAACAGACAAAAAAGTATACCTATCTTTTTTAAGCCATCGAAAAACTAGTCATCCTGTTAACAAATCTTACTTCAATATAACATAATTAGAGCGAAAGAAATACACTGATAACGTTATATACTTTTTTTTAAACACAACCTCCATTCTTTTGACGACGAAGCCTTGTCTGCTATTTTCAAATTTCAATATGCTATACCTAGTATGCGTTTTTACAATTTGCTGCTTTGGAAGGATCATGATTTTAAAATTTAGGTATTATATTTTACGAGTAACTGACTAAAAATTCAATATTGCAAACTGGGGGAAAACAATTAAAAAATAATTGTTTGGAACGCTGGTTAAACTTTTTAACTATATATTGCTATATAATTTCTGTTAGTGAAAATCAAATAAAAACAACATGAAATTCGGTGTGTTGACTATGATGTAATTAAAAAAATGAAAACGTTTTCCATATAAAAGAGTAGGTATCGATATATATTAATAAAAGTTTAATCAGTTATTTGTTTTATCATTCCATTTTTAGACGAAACTGATATTATAGTTTATGAAAATACTAAATGGGTTATTGATTTTTGTTTATGACATGAGTGAATATTAAAAATGTAGTAATCCATGGATGTATTGTATACATCTGGATTTGTTGTATTACTTAGGCCATAAAATACACTGAGTGGACGTTTTGAATAGACCACGATATACTTTATGCATCGTGCCTAAAACTATGTTCTTGGTTCATATTAACTATTGAAATAACTGTTTTTGTAAGAATTTCATTTATTTATTATCCCATTAGAAACCTTTTTTACTTGTAAATTGGTACGCTATAATCTAATCTACCCGGTCAGCAAGCTTGTTTGAAAATTGAATTTTATGATGAAGTTAGGTCGACACAGGTTCTCTTAAATCTATGAATGTACTTTACACGGATGTACTCTAATCAAGTAGCATGTAAATTTACGCATCGGTTGAATTCTTACAAGCCCCCTAGCATAAGTTAGTGATGGTATTATTAAAAATGGGTTATATTTCGATTAAAAATATTTTACTTCAACAATAACGGCATATTTTCAGAGATATACACCAACGTATGTGTACAAGCGCATCAGAAAACAAACACGAATGATTATGTCAACAAATAATCACATTCCAACTTTTCCAATCCAGCTATAAGCGAAAATATGCATGGATTCGCATTGATCGAATATGTTTTGCAACTTTGCATTAAAATTCTTGTTGCAACTTATTCCTATTTATCTGGATCGTGTTATTGGGAGCTTTGAATATCGGAGAAGACGTGCAACATGGAAAATTGATGTCAGTCAGATCCGGTGTCATGTCTATTACATTTCGTACATAATACATTTAGGATTTAATTTATTTGATTTTACTTTTGTTTTTGAGAGAGAGTTCTTTGCGCCAAACTCTTCGGAGTTATATTGAACGTTCTTGACGACATCCACCTTCATCAATGCCCCATCCCACATGCTCCTTAATTGTCCTCGCTGAAATTCGAGGGGAATTATTTAGCGAACTAAGTGCGAACTTCTGTCCCAGTTTTGTGTCGCGCCCCCATCTGCGAACGCGAGGAACGGCTTCCGATCCGCCGGAGCAAATATCTGAGGAATGCGAGCCGAGCCGGTGATATAATAAAATATTTAATGGTTAGCATTGAATTCCCAATGACTTCATATTTGGTACACAATTTTTCTCTCCTGGCCTCGGAAGCCTCGGGACGAAATAAAATTAAAGTTCATTAGGTGCGATTCTTCCGGGACGCGCCCAGAATAATAATCCGATTAGATTAGACATAGAGATGTGGGAGAAAAATTTAAAATGTGGACGGCGTTGCAGGTACCCGGAATTACTTTAAAGCGCCGGAGAATCTGGGAGTATGGGAGACTTTGGAGTTTATGTTGAATGCCATATAAGTGCGCACATTTAGATAGACCCATAAGACTAACTAATAACTAAATAAGAGGCTTTTATTGGATAGGGTGGATCGAACATGCATTCACTGAGGCCATCTCACGTTGTTGCAGCAAAACATTGTCCTTTATGGAAATTTTTAAACAGAAATCTGCAACCACATCGAATCTGTATTTCCAAGCTTTCAATCAACAGAAATATAATGCGTTGACTGAAATATTTCAATCAATGTAGGTAGAGTAGAATATAATGTTTGAGGTTATATTTTATCTTCGGGACTTCAGGTAGGTTGCCGCGTTTTATACATTAATTTTGTTATGATTTAGATTAACATATTAAGGGATTTATCAAATCAATCGTCTGATTTGCCTTACTGTTTTTTATTCGTTTTTTAATCTAAAATGAGTTTACCTGGTGAAACTAAACGTCAATGTTGTGCTCCAAATTGCAAAAACATTTCTTACTATATGAATATCTGTAATATGTTCTATAGAAATAAAAGTTTTTTCAGAATTACAAAAGACAGACAATTACTGTGGATAGAATCAGTTCGAAAATTATGTAAATCGCAATTTACTTCCACAAACAGATCATTATTTTTGTGAAGACCATTTTGAGTAAAAAATGTTTAAAAAACAGTAATAGGAAGTGATGTGCCAACATTATTTTTAGGTTCAACTACAAGTTCACCTATTAATTGTAATAATATCACCTCGGAATCCTCAGATAGTATCCAACATTCACCAAACAATTTGTTAACGTAACATTACAGAATTTTCATAGTACGAGCTGCCAAACATCAATTTAGGATGATTTTTCACCTCCACCTTTTAAAAAACCGAAATGTATATGTTTAAAATTGTTATTTGCTATAAGTGTAGTATATTACATCGTACTGATGAAAACCAATTACTTCGAAACAAATGTATCTAACTATAATTTTTGTCAAGTCACTGTGCAATGCATTTTACATAGTCAGGTAAATAATTATTTCAAATTCTTTAAAATTTGCAGTTTTTAATGGTTTCTTTAAAAAATAATAATTACAAGAGTCTCCCTGTAAATTTTTTTGATATTTAAATATTTTCGAATTCATAACAAAATGAATTTTGTCACACATTTAAGTATCACTGCTTTAACTTTTTCATTTAACCAAGTGATAATTAAAGTATTTCATAAGTAATGGGTCATGGAACAGGTATAGATGGTTCACGTTAATTTCAATTATTAACTTAAATTATTAATAGCTGTTTTGTGATCTATTACTTATGAAACACTTTTTATTCTTTGTGTATTTTGTTGCATTTAAATTTACCGCCATTATGGTGCAGCGACATCTATTAGATAGTAGAATTAATGGTTACTCTAATTGTGTTTTCCAA